GGGGGGGGGGGGGGTCCAAGGATTTGGTTTTGGGCTCTGATTTTGGTTCACAGCTGCTGCCAAAATTCAGAAAAAACTACTACATGCTCAACAGTTTTTGGGGGCCGTAGCTTCTATCGGGGACAATCTCGACTCTCGAGTAAAAACTAAATAAAGAAGAGTATACTTATTCTGATCCGTAGAACTGACGTTAGTCTCTTTATTCTACGAACACAGTTGATGATACGAGAGACGTACTTTGTACTCGTTATTTAACTTTTCTCCCGAATCGGATTGACATCTCACTAGGAATATAAAGCGGAGCATTGCGAGTTCACGCCTCGCGCCAACGCGCCTTCAATTTTGCCCACGCAACACGGACATCCATCAAGTACGAATAGTTGTATCTCTGCGCCGTCTCAACGCAAGTCCTTTTCCTTGCCTTATTTCCGTATTGCGGGTGTTTATATTTGTCTTATTTGCAGAGGTGCTCTAAGGGTAACACAGCCGATGATACGAGAGACGTACTTTGTACTCGTTATTTAACTTTTCTCCCGAATCGGATTGACATCTCACTAGGAATATAAAGCGGAGCATTGCGAGTTCACGCCTCGCGCCAACGCGCCTTCAATTTTGCCCACGCAACACGGACATCCATCAAGTACGAATAGTTGTATCTCTGCGCCGTCTCAACGTAAGTCCTTTTTCTTGCTTTATTCCCCGTATTGTGAGTGTTTACATTTACCTTTTTTGCAGAGGTGCTCTAAGGGCAACACAGCATCTACGGTAGAGTAGAACCAGTAGAACGTGATACGTGAATACGTGATATTATGCATTTATGCGCTCCTATACAGTAAAACACCCTGTATAAAATAAATTTTGTCGAAAATGACGTCATTGACATTTTTGTTTACTTTTTGCCGTGGATACCTAACCTAAGAAGTCTTATCACTGTATGATGTTTACTCTTGAGAAGGAAAATAAGGATTTTCAGTTTTCGTGTTTTCGTTCCAAATTTGCTTGCGTTTTCACAGAACTCGTCCCCCGTGACTTGAGGCTGTAAGGAGGTAACAGTGAAGTTAGACTGTGTAAATTTAATATCCTGAAGTTTTTATGTTATGATCAGCTCTTAGACAGTTGTAGCAGAAAATCAGACCCTTTGCTATTACTATGGCAGATCCCAAGTACGCTGGTTTACCAGGAATTGTAAGTACTGTGTATCACCCACTCTCTTGTAGTAGTAAGTTACCGACGATATACAAACTAATGATTGGTGGTGGCCCGTCAAAGAATGTCACACACATGAAGCAGTTGTTTCATAGGCGGGCGGGGAGTGGAACTCGTCCAATTACTATTCCAGTCATAGAGCTTGCTCATCGTATGTTGAGACAAACGTCAAAGTATTGTTTATGTCAATTGTCACCATTCACTAGTGGTGCCACCTGACTGCATGTATAAACCTGTTGAGCGGTGCGAATTTAGAGCTATTTGGTGATTGACGTTTGTCTCATCATTCGATGTGCAAGCTCTAACCTCAATATCATGGGATCTCCAAAAGTTTTTACTGTAAATGATTTAGTGTTGAAATTTTCCGTAGAGTACATGGAGTCATAATGTAAATGGGAGAGCTGGCACCGCTTTTAAGGATTTTTCAGGTCCCGAATTCTAAGACTTCTGTGCTAAGCGGGATCAGTTTTTCGTTATGTAATCGATTATTTTCGATTTACGGGGACCTGACCACCTGATGTAAACAAAGAGGATAAGAATTATCATGTATTCTACATTGCCAATCTACAGGCGCCAGCTCTCCCATTTACATAATGACTTTATATACACTATGAATTTGTTATCGTGAACTCTCTTGATAAATGGCTAGGTTTCATTTCTGGACATAGATTTTGAAACAGTCGGTTCGGAATTTAATACAAGTTCATGTTCCGCAATAGTCCTCTAAGAAACTATGGAAATTGACTATCCTTAAGAGATCCTTCTCCGGAGAAATAAACATCTTGCTTCTCGGAGCTTACACTTCACTTCAGGGCAACTTGTTCAAAGAAGTATTCCAAGATTAAAGTTTCAAAAAGTTGTTGTATTGGCAATTTGATTGCACATGGCAGCCTTTGGCCATGAAAAATTGTAATACCACATTTGAGTTAGCAAAAAGTCATTAATTTGACAAATTGGTTATGCAAGGCGGTCTTCTGCACAAATGCGCATCCTTCTCACCACTGCAGAATTGAAGTACGCTTTTGCTGTGTTTCTAAAACTCATATTTCATACGCATCCCAAGTATCTGCAAGGTATTGCACCGTGTATCTGGCAGGTAACTGGTACAGGGGAAAGACTCGGCAAATTTTTTTTGGAACCAGGTGGCAAAAACCTAAAACCGGCTCTGATTGAAGGGGAAAAACCTGGAGTGAGGTTGGTTTGTGTTCCTCAGATTGCCACCATATTCACTGGATCCACAATAACAAATGAATAAAAGGAAAAATAATCTTTCATTAATGACAAGTCAGAAAACGTTAACAAATTGGTTACAGGAGCTTTATTTTTAGATTTTTTTTTGTTGTCAAACTGGACCTTCATATTAAGAAAAAATATTAAATATTCATTTACTTACGTTTAATAAATTTCTCACGTCAAGTCTCATCAACATGGAAAGATGACATCGACTATAAGTAATGCTTTTATTATTTTCCAGGCTTTTGATGAACCTGATGTCTATGAAACAACTCATCTGCCGGAAGCTGACCAGAATCAGGAGGAAAGCGAGGAGGTAGGGCAGAAGTAATTTAACCTTGATCAAAATATTTCCTTCACTCATGTCAGCTTGACTATTTAGTAAATACATTTTGATTCCTGAAAACAGTGGATTAGGCTCACTTTTGCTATACATAAAATTGGCCAAAGTGCGAAAACCATTAATCTCCATTGCAATGTCTCAAAATTTATGTTCCTATTCTATTTTATCAAAGAGAAATACTTAAGTCAACTTTATGGCTGAATTTTATGCAGAATTTTCTGCTACTGGAGAAGAAAAATCAAGGAAGTTTTCAAGAAATTAGATTGGCTAGTTTTCCAAAGAAAAAATAAAGTCTGACAGGAAGTCTGCTAACAGAGAAATTTGGTTTTGCTTTTTGGCCATCGATAAGTATCAGAAACTTTAAAGCAAGGGTGTCATTCTTAACATATTTGGAAAAATCGAGTTACCTGCATTTTTAATTTCTAAGTGGCTCTGTTTGTGTAAACAAATTTGATAAGATATTACACATCAGACTTTTGTTACATAACTTCAAAAATAGAATTGAATTGAATCGAACACCCAAGAGAATTTGGGGCTGCCAGACAGTTTTTTTATGATGTCTTGAAATAGAAAAAATGTAGATGCGACTATTTTGCTGTAAGCGAGAGTTTACGCATTGTAGATTGAGACATAAGTCAATCTCTGACTAGCTTGGAATCAGCAACTCTTGACAAGTTAATAAGAGGAGGTAGGTACCCAGAGAAAACTGGAAGACAATTGCCCTGACTGTCTGTTTTACAGTATTGAATTTTCGCTTCGAGGGATTCCCAAGTAACTCCTTGAGATGCCTTATGCGAAATTTTGACACACAAAACCTTATCACTTACTTAAAACTGTTTTCATAGTATGTTAGCACAAAAGTTTCAGAGTATAGCTTTCTTTTAAAACGGGAGCAATTTAGGTGTATATATTTGCACTTGAATCAATCAATTTATTGGAATCAACTTTTCAGGAATCTGATGTGGTTGAACGTCTTCACATTGATGCTAAGTCTGCATTTGCAAAATTTAACAGCAGTATTTTAGATGGATCTGATGTTGATTTTTCTGACAATGTGAGCAGAAAAAGAAGAACCGGCTACAATGTCAGGTAATTCAATAGCTTCTGCAAGTCGTTGAGTCTTTTGCGCCATCATTAGGGATGCAAAAAGGTCTTACCCTTCCAATTTTTCAAAATAGCCTTCTCATGTTTAAACTCACTTTTGTGTCCAAGATTTTCAAAGTGATGCCATTCATCATTTCTCTCTCTCTCCTCCCCCTACCCCTTCTCTTTATTTACACATTTCTGCAAATTTGCAATTTTCAAGCTGACCCAAAACATTCCTCCGATTTTTAAGACCCTTTTTTGCAGCCTTCAAAACCTGTTTCTAAGGTTCCCTCATTATCACACCCTACCAATCATGACGTTCTAGTTGCATGGTAAAGAAGTTTCTGCACCCCGGCTATTAGTCTCTCTATCATGCATTGATCATTACCTACATTGAATTTTGGATGAGTTTCATCTAATTCCACAGACTTTTTGTTCAGTTACATTAGATTCTGAGATAACCTAAAATTAACACACCCCCCCCCCTTCCCCTGTAAAAGGAAAAAAATAAAAAGCTGGATGTGGGTTCAATCCTATGTAAACCCACTTTTAAGGCGGAGACTATCATGCTTACACATTTTTATGACCAAGTGAGCACCAAAGTTACTGCACTTGCGCACACTCTTGAGTTTTCCATAAAGCTGCTCCATTTTCATGGTACATAGTAAAAACGTTGTTAAATAGCGAGAGGAGAATCTCAACAACTGACCTAGGATCGGATCCTTTTGATTGGGAAAAAATTGGCTCTTCTCGCTGAAATCAGTTCAGCAGTTAATGTGCAAATAAGCCACTTTTTCATATTCTAGATGAAAAAGAATTCTCTGGGAAATTTTTTCTCGAAAAAAACCATGAAATGTTTGATACTGCTTCGTTGAAATGTCGATGGATAATCCATTTTTAGTCAATCATTTTCAGCGTTTGGTCTTGAAGTTTGTTTGTCCATTCTCTAAATACATATTTATTTTTTATAGATCTGGAGACTGGGAACTGGCCGGACCTGGAGAGAAAGAGACTATAACTCAAAAGTTTCGAAGGCTTCAGTTAGAACTGAATGAGCTTTCAGAAGAAATTGCAGCAATCAAGGTAAAGGATCTGAATTGCATAGAAAATAATTAATATTCAAGGGACTGTCTTTAAATTACTTAACATTCCAGGGGAAGTGGACATAATTATGCCAAGATAGGCTTTCTGTGCTCGCGTTCCCAGGTAGATGAACTTCTTATGCTGACATAAGTCTTGTGGACCACTATTCGAAATAGATATCAACAAAACAATAAGCAAAACAGCAATATAAATTTCTCTCCTTAAGGGAACGCTTTTGACCACTTGTTCTCTATGCCGCGATTCATGGCCAGTACTGCCATTATCAATACATGGCTGTATGGAGGCTGGATTGAGCAGAGGGAATTCATTGTAGAAAGAATGCCCTCAACTGAATGGATATTTATTTTTGGACACCATCTTGGCTTTCTTGGTGATAAGTGGTTAAATTGAAGCTTCAAATACGCAACTTTAAACTTGTTTATCTAATTCACGCCAATTCCTGAGAACCAAGTACACACTCAGTTTTTCAAAAATGCTAGAAATGAAAATTACTTAACCAGCTCATTGGACAATTTTTAAATTTTAAACTTGTTTCGCGATTCATGATTGTGAAAGTCTCTGAGCTACAATAATTGGTCATAACATGCATAAGAGGATATATTTCTCTTGTTTCCAGTTTGCAAATGCTTTGAAATTGTTCCGATTTTGATCAAATGATCTCAAAATTCTGACAGAAATCCTAAAATTCAGGCTTGGCGCCTTGCTAAAATCCCATTAGAGGCTCTAAATATTTCCAAATCTCAATAATGCAATTTCTTGGGGTTGATTTTTTGTGAAATCCTGAGCTCCCTGCTGTATTGGAACGAGAATTGTCAAAAAAATGGACCCCATTTTTAATTCCCATCAGACTTTACAAGCAAAATCAACCACTCTTAACTCTCATAAGGGTACTTCAAACGAAGGAATCTGATTTTGCTTCATGTAAAACAAACTTATTTGATTTTCAACGTATTATGAAGAAATCATCATTAATCATTGACAAAGTTTCATAAAAAAATTCAAGCGGAAATTTCTTTCATTTCACTTTGTTGCTTCGACGTATCATAAAAGCTCTAATTCTCTAAAGTTACCCAACCTGTAGCTCTAATCCCTTAACCCTCTATGGCATGTTGTTACTTATTTTTAACAACGCTTTATTTGGTTTTTTGGTTTTTTAAAAATTAAATCTTTCCTCTGTGTCATGATTTTGAAAATTTTCACTGGTACTTTCTGTTTTAGAAAAAGGATCACCAAAAATTTGAAATTTTGAAAAAAAAATTTGGGACTTAAAGTTTTTACGAAAGCTACAACATAGATTTGCGTTTTTCAGAAACCAAGATCCAACATTAATTCATAATATAGAGGGTTAAAATTTCTTGAGCTTTTCTATCAAAGGTGAGAATGGAAGTTATCTGTTCGCACTTATATGTACTAGAAATACACAGACAGTGCCCTTTTTGGAAAGCCTATTTAACAAAGAACTAATGCTCTTTTGAAGAAAAAATTATGTTTTAACCATTTGTTTTTATTTCCAATAACTTTGTTTCCATAGGAAGCTAGTGATGACAAAAGTATCAGAGATTACTCCAGTCTATCCGAGCAAGTTGAGAGAATGCTAAAGCACTTGTCTTGCACTCAGCTGGAAGATGTTTTGGGAACTGAAATATGCGCTAAACTAACTGATCCACAAGGGGCCCAATTGAAGTAAGGATTTCCTTTTCTATCAGTAGAATCTTTTGAATAAACTCCAAAAGATACTATTAACTGTTCAGTCATAAAAGAGCTTTTCAGTTTCGTGCAGGCATGACAGAAGTCTCTGAGCTCACGCTCAGGTTCACTTTAAATTGCAGTTATGCAAGCGGAAGCATAACTCCTGAAAGACGTCTTCAGACATCGAAAGAAAAAACCTCTGACTTTTTTAATTAAAAATTCACTGCAGAAATAAAAAAATTTCCTCCATATTTTAAAGGTGACCTCAAAATACCCAGTTTTTCACATTGCATGCCACTGCAAACTTCAAACTTCCATAACTCCAATTTGGTCTGGCATCTTGGGGTTTTTTTGCTCGAATGCTTGTACAATACTCTTGTATGCAGTGGTATTAGTTTCTAAATTTTGAGCTGTTCAGCCAAGCCAAACGGCTATTTTTTGCTGTGAATGGTCTCTAAAAATTTTGTTGTTTCATCAAAAGGTTGCGTTGGTAATGTTTGTTGTTGTTGTTGTTGTTGTTTTTTTTTTTAATTTTTCCGATCTCTACTAAACATGTAAAATGATGTGTCTTTTCATCCAAATAATTAGCTCTAATTTTTTATGAAAACGTTTCTGTAAGATCATTTTTCAATTGAATTTGACTCTCTTCGTAGGAAACTATTGGAACAACTAGATGAGTTCATAGTTGTCACTCCAAATGAATCTGGAGAAAAACCAGCACAGAAAACAGCAGCACCATCATCTGCAGCAAACGAGAACGATAAACTAGTTCGTTATGAACTCATGCTCAGACCTAGCCAATCGCATCTTCATCAGACGCAACGATTCGCACAATTAGAACAAAAGTTGAGTCTTCTTGAGAATCTTGTCGGAAACGATTCTTCAAAACTAGTAAGTATCAAGTATTCAGTGTGATGTTTTCACCTGATCTGCTTGAGCATACATTCTAAAACGCAATGCCACAAGTGCACGGATATTTTTATGCATTTTCGGTTTACTTTATCCTGTACCAAATTCTTATTGCAAGCAGCACTAATTAGAGACTAGTGGTTAAAAATATGGGAGATTGAACTTTCGAAAATGGAGTAGAGTTTAATAAATGTTTAATTAGCGACACCCTCGTTAACTCATCTTCAACAATATTTGAAACTAGAGGAAGACACTTTACACAAGTTTCAGCTATTGTTAAATTCACTAAGTAAGTAAAGTTTGTAAGCATGATAAAATAGAAAATCTAAATCATGGAAAATCCAGGGTTGGAATATCCAACAACGATAAATGGTTTGAGTTTAATGAGAGAAGAAATTAAAGATTTTTAAGATCAACCTGAAAGACCCCTCCAGGTGAATCTTCAGTGCCTTATGGCATGACATTTTTTTACCCAGGACAAGCCGCCACCTAGATTTGATTTTTGTTATCATGTTGTAAAATACATATGTACTGCCAACCTGTAGTTTTGGATTCATTGACCAAAAAATTCTAAGAAATAATTCTTTCTAGTCTTTCTAGGAAAGCAAAACTGTGACAAGGAATCTGCAGTGTAATGAACCAACATACCCTTTTTTTCTTACTGTCGGCCTCTTTTGTGTATTTTCTGAAGGAGATACACTATTTAACGAATACCTTTTTCATGAAGAAAATTTCGGTTTTGACTTTGCCTTAATCTATATTTGCATTCTGTTCATCTGAATTTTTTCCAGGCAAGGCTGGGTGGTAAAAAGAGTTTGGGTGAGGTTGCTCGCAGCCTAAATGCAAGAGTATCAATGTTGGACATGACCAAACTAGAAGCTATTGAATTGAGGCTGACAGCTTTGTTCCGGAAGCTCGAACAAATTAATGAGAAAGCAGCTGACGTCACCAGATCGGAAGACACTGAGAGAGAGGCAAAGGTACAGCCATGATCTCTGAGTTCCAAACTTTTTATGTTGCAAGAAAGAACAGGACCCACCCCTTTCTTCCCCCCTATTGTTGACCTCCATAGATTAAAAGAAGGTTGTGAAGTCTCTTAGTTTGTCTTCTTGAGATTCCCTCCAAGCAGGACATTTTCTAATGAAACCAAAAGGAACAGGAAAAGAAGGAATGAAAATTATTGTGGAAGAAAACAAGGTGACAAACATGAGCTGTTAAACTATGAGAGAAAAGAGAACACTAGAATGTAACTAATTCTATATCACAAAATTGAACTAAGAATTTTTCATTTCAATTGCATCCTGTTGGTTTGAGTTTTTTATTTTCATTCAACCAGATCATTTTTGAATATTCGTAATTCATTCTTTAAGCGTTTGCCTCGTCATCAATCTAAATAAACAATACCTAAAGATAAGGGAATTTTTGTTACAAGGACCGCCGCTTTTAGATCATTTACAGGATAGGGTGGTGCTAAATTAACATTAATATGCGGCATTATAATATGAAGGCTTTTTAGCTGAATCATGAATTTATCTCATAATTTTCAACAGTGATTTGCTAATGAATTTTCAGCATAATGTTTTGGAAGGGGAGGCAGCAAGTAAATACCTCTAATGAATGAACTTGAGACAAAATTATACGTAATCAAACCATGAAATCCTATTCTGAAGGTTTTGTTCCTTTTCTTTACCTTAGTTCAATCCCATCGTTTAAAAAAGTCTTGAAGCAAAGCTTTTGCTTTTAATTTGTAAACTGTCAGTCCTGTGAATGACAAGTATATAAAATACGTAGTGGAAAAATGTAGTGCTGAAGAGTTTTTATGAATTACAAGTCATCGAATAAATCATAACTTGCCCTGATCAACCAGTTGAAGTCCAAGCCTGCTAAATTCTTTTTCGCGTAGTAACAGCGAAACAAAGAAAATATCAAAGAGTAATGACTTTGGTGATGTAAGAACTTGCAAATCTTTACCAGAAGCGACATTTGAAGCTCTCTATGAAAACACTGGTGCACCTAGAGACTGTGAATTTGAAACACACTTTTCCTATGTACACGCTTTTTCAGCAGTCTGAAGGGTACAGGTTAAAGGCACAGTCACGGTAGAGGGGTTCCTTTAGAGAAGAGGAGCATCACTCTGAGATTTCTCCAGGAATACCCTTAAATTTCTAATAATGAGGTTGTAATCTGTAGTTTTTTCAAAAAGGAGGAGGTTTTTTCAAGGGGGAGGAATAGCTGAGAAAGCAAGAAAGAAGAAGAAATCTTGTTTAGTGAAAGTTAAGCTTTTTCAAAGCAATCTTTCGCACAGAAGTTTTTTTGGAGTACAAAAATGAGATGCCCGTGTTTGAGATTAACTTGAAACACTGTAACCAAGTACATCCTTTACTACCATGCTAAGAAAAAAGGCCGCATGAACATTCGAGAGTTGCTAAATTTCCTTCGATAAAATGATTATTTTTGAGTAAGTTATGACTATTTTTCCGAGAAATTTTTAAGAACTTTAGGTAAAATGGCGAACAAAATTATCTGCAAAATTGGAAGAAAAATGTTTACAAATTTTCCCGAAAATTCGTGATTTACCAACAGAAAGGCAACGCCTAAAGGTTCATACGACGTTCTTCCTCAGCACCGCAGTACACCGCGCCCACACTTTTGTAGAATGAGTTTCACTCTTGTCTTTTATTTTTTTCAGTTACAAGAGTTATATGAATTTGTGAAGAAGTCGGAATCAGTAGCCCAAGTTCTCCCACAAGCATTGAACAGGATGGCAGCTCTAGAAACTATCCACCAAAAAGGTAAGAAGTGGAATTCAAAAGTTTTGCCAGTTTATCTTTATCCTAAAGTATCTCCTATTGGATTGGATAATTCCCAATAGAATGAGTGTCAAAGTGTATATTTTTCAGGTTTTTCCAATTATTGAATGAAATATTTTAAGGCTAAAGTTGAAGAACTTGTTCTTGTGCTGACTTGTACCACAGCCCTGCAAGGCTTTCAAGTAGGAATGAACAATTTATTTATTTATTTAGATAATACCTAAACTAGACCTAGTGAATTTTATGGCAGCTGTATGAAACCTGAAGGATGTAATTTTTTTCATGCTCCTCCTTTTTTATTGTTTTAGGAGGAGACTTCCTGACCACGGTGAGCCAAATTGAAACTATGCAGAGTGAACTGACATCAAGTGTGGCTCTAAATGAACAACTGTTGAAAACATTGACTGAAAATCTAAATGAAAATATGGCATCAGTGAAAACCAACATGACCTCTTTTGATTCCAGAATCAAAGCTCTGCAGGCGAAAAATTAAACCTTTTCTTCAGAACCACTCACTCATGTATGCCTTTTTATGAAAATATCTTCTATGGATCTTGCAAGAATCATCTGCAAGATAGCTGTTTACTCTCTGTGTGCTTGTCACATCATTAATGCTGTCGGCTAATATTATCCATCAATGCCATTCTCGAAAGACTAAGTACAAGATTCTTTGACGTAGCTTTGAAGTGCTTCAGTGAAAAGCCTATTGAGTGTGTTTTTCATTTAATACAAGGCAAAATGTTTCCCTCTGTTTGTAATTGCCATTAAAGCTTAACGAAAGATAAAATGGACCACAAAACACGGCAAAAATTGAAGCAAAGGTTGGTGTCTCCTCGTCAAATTTTCACCCGGAACATGTTAACCGTATCAAAAACTTACGAAAGTAACTCATAAGTAAGAAGTTTAAGTTATTAACTTTCCGCTCGTTGAAGAATTTCAAACTAAGTTAGTCATATTAGCCATTGAAAATAACCTCGATTTTGTACCTCGTCTTGTGATTCATTATTGAAGAGACTCGCGCAGACGGTCCCTTTATCAAGACCTAGGATCCTATTTTGGTCATTGATTCCTGTTGTTCAGCAAAATGTAACAAAATCCGTACAATCATCAAATTTCTCAATCTTATATAGATGTATCACGCTCAGAAAAACGGTGATTGATATCATTATCTATGGTACTACCAAGTATGATTTCTTACACCTGTATTCACAAGTTCATAACTTACACATCTGTATTGATTGTTCAGGGTAAATCTAATGTTATCTCTAATAATTTTGATTAATTGTAAATATAAAAATATTACTCATTTGCAAATGAATTTACTTCATATTTTTCCTCCATGATCACCAGTAGTTCTCATCCTCCAATGAGAAAATGAACCTTGATCCATGGAACTTCAAAATTGAGTTAAAACACAGAAGAGTGCTTCATGAACGTTTTGCCACAAAAGCACCCAAAAGTGTAAAAAAAATCAAAGTTCGGGCAGTTTGAAGCTCGCATTCCAAGATAACGTAAATTCAAGATGAAGCTGCATACTTTTAATTTTAATCCATCTGTTCAAAATATGATATTGCCAGATTATGATGTAATTTCTTGTTCTCCCTTGGGCTAAATATCTACAGAATTGCTCGGAGGTTACTCTTTGGGATATCAGAGAAAGTTTTCAGTCAAAATTTCGAAATCCACTTTTTGAGCGTTCACCACGTTTGTAGCGTACGCTCTTTTCCGTCGTTTTGCATCGGGTATGTTCCTAATGTATCCATTGGTAAAGGCCCGCACTGCTCCATGGGAAACGGCACCATTCTTCGTGGCGGGAAGCAATACCTAGTTTCTCAATTTTTTTTTATGTATCATTTCTACCTTTTATCTCCTGTTTTTTCCACTTTACGTAATGCCTGCAGGCTTGTCTATGAGAAATTAATATCTTTACGCTTTAAAACTCTGCAATGTACTTTTTTTTAATGACTCTTTCAAGGATCGTTCAAATTTTTTGTTGTCATAGTTATTGAAAAATTTTTGGGTACCAAGTACCCCTTCACTAATTACCCCTATATTTTACTCTATGATGAAAAGACATTTCTTGTATATATTTATGTTCCCTAGGTTACGCTCCACGTTTAGTTCAACAGCGTCTTGTAGCGCTCTCTCTCATACGCGCAAAACCACTTTTACATTAATGACGAGGTGCTACGGTGAACGCTCTCCAACGTCTTAACGTTGAAACCGTCATCTTGTTTTACCTTCAATAAAGAAAAAATCGCAAAAACTTGCTCCTCCGAAACTTTTGCCTTTGTAGACTGAGGTCTATCAGGTCTATCAGGTCTACTGAGGTCTACTATGAGGGAGCCCAGTTGACAGGCACATTTATTTTTGGATCTCAAGGTTGCCACAGAACTTAGAAAATAAATTTCCTGTCACATCTCCTGTTAAAATTTCCTGACAATTATACGTAGATATGTCAGATGGTAAAAAAGACATGTTTTGAAATAATTTTCAGGGAAAATTTGTCGTTTGAAACGTCGAACCCACCCAGAAAGCAAATAAAGGCGACTTAATCATTTTCTGTGGAATGGGTGAGTTCAAGTAGTTGATTCCTTTCTCTGAGTCGATTTTTCCGACGAGACATCTGAAAAGGAACCAAATGTGCACTCTGGTTCCTTTCTTTGCATCGATTTGCCTTTTTTGCATGTAAGAGAGGGGGACCAAGTGTTTAGAAATTCGAAGAAAATGATTTTAGCAGCAAATATTGACTTTCTTGATCAAAAATAAACGAACAAACCTTCTGCAATCTGATAAAAATTACATTTTGAAACTCAAACGTTCATCTAAGGTAAATAAAAAGGAAATTCTACAACAAGCAGAACATTTGTTTGGTTTCTTTCTGATTTGTTTGATTCAAAAAATTTTTAGAAATTTCACAAAGAGGGTAACACAAAAACCTGTATTTAAAGAATCTGTAATCTGCTATTTGAAACATTACTGATAAAGCAATGGAATAACTGAAGAAACAGGTACATACTTCATAGGGTCTGCTACCTACCATTCTTTTTCTCTCCTTTAATTCATAGTTAAAAATTTAATGTTTTTATTCATGGAGAAAAAACGGAAGGCAATTGCAGGTTAACTTTTACAGCCGCATATTATTTAACATAGTTGACAACAATGAACACAGTTATGGTTCAATGTTTTTATTCACCCTGAGGGTTCAATTCCTGTGTTGTGGTAGCGGTGACCCAGGCTCAAGTCACCTGGGTTACTGCAGCCACAATGCAGGGTCTTATTTCATGTTTCCTGTTTTTCATTAAAGTTTTAATGAAAGGAAGGCTATTTCCAATCGTAGCTAGGTATTTTTGTTCTGAGACTGCGCATCCCAACTATTCCCACTTTTTCAGTTAATTTTTTTTTTTTTTTTTACCAAATTGAGCCAAAAGGCACTAGTATGAGTTCTTGAAAGATTAAGTCATAGTTCGTTACTACACAATTCTCCCTAAGAGTTTTCAATTATCACAATTTGCACCAGGACTTAGCCTGAAAGTGTGGACACTTTTTGGGTGCCTCTGGCCAAACCTAGAGTATATGCGGCTTCGCAACACAACTAGAAACTGCAGTTGAGATGTTTTCTAAGCTTTCATTGGTAATATGCTACTCTCTTACCAAACATAAAAAACTGGCTATCATCTTTCACTGGCCCTTTTTGGCAAGAATTACTGCCTAAAATAATGCACTCGATGGTGCAGGAGTAAAAATTATAGAAAAATTCCATGAAATTATGAAATTAGCCCCTGACCAGGACTATCCACGATTTTAATTTTCATCAAATAGAAAAGCCACTGACACCATGAGGCCTTCCATTTGTCTCATCGAGTTTCTTAGAGCAGAGGATGGTAAGTTAGGTTCAGCTTGGGTTTGGCGGGCTGTCAATTTGAGTCGAGAGAAGGCTTTGGTCAGATACACAGCCTGGACAGAGATGCATTGAGTCGTGAATGAAGACATCGCAGTCTAGACAATACAAATTTTTGCATCGTTGACATTCATAAATCTGCAAACAGAGAGGAAACACATTCGTTATATTCTTGAAAAGGAAAATGACGAGCCACCATAGGAGGATTAAAGCACTTTGACATGTTCAGAACAGGGAAACCAAACTTATTTGCAATTGTTATTTAATTATTCGCAATTTGCAAATATTCACGGCATGAATAGTCGTAATTGCGAATTTTCGCACAGCTCTAGTTCCTAATTATGCTTTCCTTTTCAAATTGATTGTTGTTGTTCATAATTTACCCTCTTTTTTTAGTAAAAAAATCTATGCTTTTGTTATTCACATGCTCTGTGCTGATTGCCCAATATGAACCGACAGTTCACAGTTTCTGGTGGCTCTCATCAGTCCGAAAGGGTATTGTTATTGTGTAATCAAGATATTCTGCAGCTTTTAACATGAATATTCTCAGAACATGCACTACTTACATATTTATCTTGAGATTTTAAGAGCTTAGCACAAGCAAAACAGCTGGCTGATGTTTCTTGAACGTTGAGTTGCTTAAAAGGGGGAATAGGAAACAGATGCCGATATGACTTTGCAAAGTGAAGGGCTGAGACTAGTACCAGTTCGCAGACAGAGCACTCGACTGGAAGTTCACAATATTTGCTATGGCACTGCGGACAAAAGTAACCGATTGTTGCTGGTGGCTTCTGGCTATCCAAATGACTGGAAAAAGAGAGGAAAATATCTGATTAACTTCTATTAGAGATGCAGAAAGTTCTTGACATTCCCATAAAAGAATTCTTTTTTCCTGAAAACTTTTCAAGCAGTTTACAAATTACCCCAATTATGCACAAAAAAAGCAATTTACACCATCATTTTGCAAAAAAACATGCAATTTTTAAAACTATTAAACTGTGCCTTCATGAAACGACCCTGATGAATCGATTAGTTTTCTTTAATTGACTTTATAATTGATTACTTTCATTTTTTTTACCTGAAATTAGTAAAATTTGGTACTTTTTTCCTATACTTTACCTAAAACGTGTGTTGGCTTAGCAAAGAGTATTTTCAAATATTTTGCCCGAATTCAACAGTCAAAATCCCATGTTCCCATTGAATCGACATTCATCAGCCAAAAATTAGGATCACATTTGTAAAATTTCGAATCAGATGAGTCTCGAATTCTGATCAGATGTAAAAATATTGGAACTGGTTCTAAAAGTTTCAAATTTGGCTTACCAGGCACAGAGGGTGGAACCAGCTTCTTTTTCATCGATGTTCAAATGATGAGGAAAACCCATTTTGACCAAGGAAGCCTCTTTCTGCTGCGATACAGTTAAAGGTTCGACAAACTGGTACACGATGTCTCTGAAATGTTTGTCATCTAGAATTATGTTGAATTTTCCACCAGTCATTTGACACAACTTCTTAAAAACATATACTTCAGCCGAAAGAGCGATCACTGAACAGCATAGTTGTGTCTCCACAGCATTCTACAAAACAGCGAAAAAGAAAAACAGAGTAAATAGAGACACATTGCAGATGTTAGCCAAACTACTCTTAAAACGTTACTATGAGGCAATCGTTTCTAGACATTACAGTTCTATCCGCTTATATTAAAAGCTCTTCAGATACTTGGATTGGACAGAATTCAGCAGAAGTGAACCAAAGTCATAGATATGTTAAAGTAACACATTTTTGTCATCGCAATCTGATCAAGCATTCCGTCATCAAGTCAGATATTTTCCTGCCAGGTAAATTGAAAACAAGATTGTGAGGCAAAATAGCAGGACCATAGAAAACCTTCAGCGTTCCAGAACTTTTTGCACCTCAAAGTGAACTTACTAATATCCACCTTGGTAATAAGATAAAAAAGCCACAACATACTAACCTGTATTGTGAAGTGGATGCCCCCAGGGTCACATGTAGTTAAACTAGCCATTATGAATACAACCTCACGACTTGTATGAGCAGGAAGCATATGGAGAGAATTTATCGCTAAATTCAAAGAGTTCATGAGAGATGGTTCACCGGAGAGGCTTGATTGGTTCCCGAAGTGCTCTTTCAACGCAGCAATGTGTTTTTTGGCGTTGCCTCCAAGCTCTGAGATCATTGTGGCACGTTTGTCCCGAGTTACTATTATTCCTAGCTGACTGATCGGGTTTTGGTCTATATATTCTTCAATGAAACCCTCAATTATCTGAAACACGCATCGCTTAGCTTAAACAGGCGGAACAAACCAAGTGGGCATGGTGCTTGTCCATTGATTAGATGAGTGAAATTCAAACAAACTTGTGAACATATTTACAAGAATAAATATTGAAAGCATGGAAACTTGAATTTTTTTCTGGCTAGTTTACTGCACTTCCTAAACCTTGAACTCTATCATTACCTTGAGGATCTTCAATGATGTCATTAGCTGCCTTTATTTTCTTAAAATGGCTGAGCATCACTAGAAATTTGCTTTTGTTACCATTGAGGGGCCAAAGCTTTCTGATGCAGTTCCTAACAAACATTTAAAACTTGCGTTTGTTACAAATTAGGCATCCTTGGACAACAGTCTCATGAGGGAGGGAATGAAACATGTTCTGTTCTCACATCCTCATCTATCTCAATCTTGGCAAATAATGGCACTTATAAATATTACACATACTCCTAAAACTTGTTTAATATCATCAATTTTCACTATTTTAACTGTTGTTCCATCATCGTTGTTTCTTATTCAGTTACGTGAAAAAGCTGTAATAAATGGAAAAATAAACATATTTTATGCATTATGCTCTATGATAAGAAAATGAAAACAAGTACCTTGAGAGTGCACAAATGTCTTGTTGGTTTCAAATCCTGATCAAGCATTGAATCGGAGCCATCGAGGACAAGGATTAAATGCCGCATCATCCCCAGTCTCGCATTCTGCATACGCTCTTCTTGCCGTTTGCGCTTGGATTTTTGTATAATATCTGCCACAGCAGAATCAATGAGGCCATCATCATCCTCTTTGATAGCCTCCCTGAAATAATGACAAAAATCAATTTTAGACACTTTAAAATGCTAGGGAATTAAAAAATCAGGTTTAGTCCAACTATTATTAACTTTAGAACTTCATGGTTAAAATTTTGAAGGATTTTTGATTCTTGTAATTCTTTTATTTTATTTCATTTTTTTTTTTTTTTGATAACTTCATCAATAACTTGCCAAGGACTAAGCCGATTCTGTCATTGATGACTTCACCGATGACTCAACAGATTACTTTATCAATGATTTCTACAATGACTTTACTTATTAATGAAACATCAATATACTTTTAATGGATGCATTACCAAATGATTTTTCTTAAAATCAGCTGCAAGCCGATTATTAAAAGTTTAAAGCAGCCTGATAAGACATCAAATTGCGATACATTGCATGGTTAAGATAGGGCTATGTTTCGTCATGTCGGGCCGACATAGTTTCAATAATCGGGCCGCTGATTGAAAAAATCAATCAGAAAAAGGTATCTCAGTCAAAATTGTTGTGGAAATAACCAAGCTTTATTTTTTTTGTATTTTTTCAAATGCAGCGTATACCAGTTCTACCCTGGTAGGAATTCAAGTAGAGTCACCTCATTGTCAGTCATGATTTCTTATAATTTGAAGACCCCATCATTAGAATTCACTCATGTGGAGAATTGTATACTTTATCCAAAGGACTCATTTTCTTGTCTTAATAATGTCAAGTTTAAGTAGTTCAGTCAAAACTTCAAATTGAGTGAGTATTGAGAGAATTCTAGGAAGCATCAACGAAGGCCAGCTACTGATGGAGGTCTGAGAGAGAGGAGTACAGAGGAGGGGGTGACGTTTTGTGGAGAAGCACTGGTCACAGGAAAAATCCGGAGCTTTTCAAAAAATGGACTTACCAAGTTTTTTCATAACCGCTCTCCCATCTATACTCGTTACCTTCCTCTTCATCCATGTTCCCAGCGAGTCTGTCGGACATAATTCTGAAATCCAAAGCAACATTCTGGTAAAGTACAAAAAAAAAGTATGAGAGCAGGATCAGAGGTTCAACTCTAAAAAGTTGACGGATACTCAAAAAGGGAGAATCCACTCAATGTTTAGGAAGGAGTGTAAAAATGAAACAAACCGTACAATATAGGATTAGAGAGAGTTCTTGGCCTTTTCACTTTAAAAATCCTTTTTTTATTCCACAATTTTCAAAAACAAGACTTTTTTTCCTCCTAGCTTTTTATTTGCAAACTGTATTCATTTTGTATAACAAGCAGTATTTTCATGACTTCCCCATTTTCAGGATCCCTTTTTGCAACTTTCTCATTGTTAAAATTTGTGTCTGATACCATCCAATTTTTACTTGGGATCCATTGCAACCCACTGGTTGTATGATTGATACTCCAACAGCCTGAGCAGAAAGGGTGCTCTCTATACTTACAACCAAGAAGACAAATTAAAATTTGCTTCTTTGCGGTTGAAGCAAAGGGTATTTCGACGGTGTGAGTCGGCAATCACATAACTAGGTTTGCGACCTCGCAGACTTCCTGTCATACTTTATTTTTTAAACGGAAAACTACGCAACAGCAGTTCTTCAAAACTGCCATGATTTTCCTTCTCTGTGCAAAGAAAATTCTCCATAAACTTCAAGGAATGATGTCAATTTGTTCTCCTTTAATGAAATAACATAGAGGCAGAGATTTTCAGACACGACAAACGAGAAATCACTGGTGTAAGTGGACAATCACATAACTCGTTTGCGGTGTCTGAAAATCTCCGCCTCTATGTTATTTTATTAAAGGAGAACAAATTGACATCAATCCTTGAAGTTTATGGAGAATTTTCTTGGCACAGAGAAGAAAAATCACGGCAGTTTTGAAGAACTGCAGTTGCGTAGTTTTCCATTTAAAAAATGAAGCATGACAGGAAGTCTGCGTCGTCACAACCCGAGTTATGTAATTGCCGACTTACACCTTTGGTATGTAACTGCGGACTTACTATCAATTTCAGTTTGACAAGCACAGTGAATAAAGTATGTAATAATAGATTCTCACTTACTATATTTATTAAAACAGGAGATAAATACGATGTTTACTCTTGAGAAGGAAAGAGGCATGAAAAGTTGCAGAATCCCCAGCAACCATCCGCGTCGGTCACCGGTCAACGATGCATCTTCTTTTCAACAACAATAACGCTACCCTTATATACTACTTATTTCCGGTACGAAGCAATCGCTCGGATGGCTCAATGGGTAGAGCACTCCCCTGCCACAGTGAGGATGCCGAGTTCGGTTCCCGACCCTGGAAATTTTTTTTATTTTTTCCAATCTGTAAAATCCCCCTATCATGATTCTTCGTCCAAATAAGTCACAAAACTCATTTTTACAACAATTAATTTAATATTGAAAATAGTTAGCTCAATCAGCGACTTTTACTGACTTAGCGGTTAGGTTCGGTTAGGTTAGGTTAGGTTAGGTTAGGTTAGGTTAGGTTAGGTTAGGTTAGGTCATCAGCTCTTTAATAAATTAGTGGCATTCTGTTCAACTAATGTTTGTCAACAAAAAAAAAAAATTAATGTTTCACTCAACTTAAATTTTTTTAATTTCCGACTTTAAAAATTACAATCCTACTGTTTTTTTCGAAATTCCCGCGCTAATCTACGAGATAGCATCCGAATAGTCAATGGTCATCGGTCGATTACCGGTGCGCTCGTGGCAACTTTTCAACGCCTCTTTCCTTCTCAAAGTGCTTAATCGATAAATACTTGCTCCGATGAATCCTGAATAGAGCAAAAATCAAGTCGCACAGCAGGAAAGAGGCCCTGATGAACGCAAGTTGAATACTTTCGGAGGATTTAAAAAAAAACTTCAGCCTTAAATGACACTGATAGTCAATCCTTCCAAAGTAACCGGTACATAATAATAAAGTGAAATCATGAAGAAACCTCAAAAGGTTGGTTTAAAAACTGTGTGAATAAGTGATACAAGTAATTGTAAACAAATTAAGTATGAGGTTAGAAGCATAGAGAAAACTATAGCCATGCTCCAAGATTCTGCGTGCGGCCGGGGCAGCCGGTGTGGTTACTGCATAGAATAATAAGGCTACGCCTATTAGCTATTAGGCGTTAGCTTTATTATTCTATGGTTACTGTAAGCCGCATGGAGCCGCCCCCAAATTTCTCTGATTGGTCATATGCAGAATTTTTAGATTACGTGATCAACACTGTTGCAATGAGAATTGCAGCAAATCAGGCACACTTCACGGAAATGTCACATGTTGCAGCCTTCGGAACGGCAATGGCCTCGGGGTCTTGACGGTCTTGAATGATAATAGTTAGTCTGTGATAACAGGTAGGTCAACACAGAAAGCTCAAGTCGAGTAAGGAATTTTTTGTAGATTTTTCTCCATGACCATGCAATAACTTGTCAGCGATTAGTGATTATCAATGTATGATCTGCTTACCATCAGACACATCTTTTCGAGAGTTCAGTCATAATGATCGTCCATAGCAAATTTGTCACAATCCCTCACACATGTGTCGAATATGTTCATCCGTGGACCAACTCTTGTGCTGCTGCCTCTACTGGATTATTGTTGGCAGCTATTCCAGAAGCATTGAGGATTTACATCACAGCATACACAGTAAGTAACTAACTCCTTTTGAGACATACTCACTTTAACAGCTGTTGCGGAACTTTCATGCACCCGCTTGTAAGTCCGATACATCATAATTAAGGTGGCTGATCTACGAGTATCATTTGCCGATAATGCCGAGATCCAGGACTTTCAATCTGAAAAGGCCCATAGCATGTCTTCTACAAGAGGTTATTGGATTTTTCCGTCGGGAGGATGAAGGTGCTAAACTGCTGACCTCAGTTACTGCCTTTATCCATCAACCCAAGGTTGCCTCCCACCTATCCTCTCAGAGAGGTCAACCATGAGTTCTAAGTAATTGATGAATACACAGTGCCAATAGTAGGTGGTAAGGTGGCAGGTCAATGCAGCTTCATCTGAATGGAGACATGCGGAAAGGGTGGAAGTCCAAATTTTTCAAAATCGACTTTTTTGCATTGTTGGACTCCTCTAGTATGTACACATCGACTCTGCAAAGGAATGCGGAAAGTCTATCATTTTAACGTTGACTAATAGGGAAGGAAAATATTGGTCACATGCAAAAAGGGCGGAAGTCTCGGACTTCCCTTTTTTTTTTTTTTTTTTTTTTTTTTTTTTTTTTTTTTTTTTTATCAATTCTTCCCCAGTTGCAAAAAGGGCGGAAGTCCAAATCAAAAGTAAAAAATTCCCAAATAAGCGGGCTCAAAATTTTTTCTTGAGATTCAATTCTTTTTAAGTAGTACTGCCGGGTCAAGCCTTCCGCAATGGGAAATATTTTTTGTTTTTTTTTTTATTCGAATTGTTTGTCCTGCAGGAAGTTTTTTGCTTCTCCTGAAAAATTGACTTTTTTGACTTCTGCCCTTTTTGCAAGTCTCGATCCATCTGCCATTTCCTTCCCCCGATACTAAAAATCGTATTTACTGAAGAATTTCCAGCTGTCGAGTCCTGAATGAATTTCAGCCCGCTATCTTATAATTTTACTAATTTTACCGTGTGCAGCGGAAGATCTGCTGCCTTCATCTCAGCACTTCAATTTAAAGCAAGAATCAAGACGGCGGATCCTTTGTCTAATTCTACAAGTTTGTCATCCTTCATGGTTAGGACTCAAAACAATGTTAAAATGACTTTTTTTGACCACCGAACCCAGCCCAAACAGTTATAGATGGATCATCCGAATTTTGAAGAAGCTGTCTCTCCCAAAATATGTACATTTATGAAGTTACAAACTGTGTTCTAGTTTTGTGTATCCTTAAATAATCACTGATGTTTGTTTTCTTACAGCTTGCACTGCTGATGAGAGGTAAAATTCCATCAAAAAAAGATATCAAAAGAACAATCTTAGGTATTCTTCAATCATCAGCTTTCCTGACTTGTCATGCGTTTGGCTATTCGATGGTTAACTGTCTTCTCCGGTAATTTATCATTATTTATTTGTCTTTCCTTATTATTGAGAACAAAGTACTTACTATGCATGAAATACCAAGAAATTTGGTTCTAGCTGAATTTTGAGATGAGTTCTTATGATGTTCTACCCAATTTCCTCAGTAGATTAAATGAGCTTTTGAAATCAATTTTTTTTTTATGCCGATCTCGAAAGAAAATGGATTTATTGACAATTTAATGCAAGTCATCATACAAAGTGGTAGCACTGTTGCTGAGGCGAATGTACCAAGCCTTTTGTTTTGTACTGAGTCAGTGCGCCATCTTATTTGCTTGGCCTGTCCAAGACGAGAAAAGAAAAGAGGAATTGCTCCTTGAATGCCTACATTTTTCCACTTGACATTGCGTGCAAATCTGAGGAAAAAGACACTTTTCAGACCTGATTTCCTTGAGTTTGAGAGTTCAATTTTAAAAGCTCATCTTACCTTAGAGACTGTAGGAAAAATTTAGCCAGTACCTAATTTCTTAGTATTCCGACCATAGCCTTTTTCTCCTGCTCCTAGATTACTCCCATTTGATGCAGATGAATTAACTGTATGCAAAAACTTCTTGGTTCAAGTTCATTCAAAACATAGAGTCACAATCTGAGTAGGTATTCAGTGTCTTTGAAAGTAAAATCAACCCCAATTGTGTGGTATCTCTCAGAAGGTGCCTAAACAAGAGCTTAACCAACCCACGCATTTCAAATACTCCTCGAACTTTTTACTTTCTCTGTGAGAAAATGAAGTAGTCAGTTAATACTTTTTTCGTGTCGTGCTAAATGAGTTGGTCTGTACAAACATGAGAAATTATCTTTCGTCTCTATTCTTGAACCTCAAGTAAATTTTTTTATTTGGGAGCAGACGTAGAATACTTCTTTACTTCACATTTGTTCAACTCTCAAGTAGGAGCAATGAATGATCAAGGTAATTGTAAACGATTTCCCACAGAAAAGTTTATTTAATTACTCGGTGACTTCATTGCTGACAGATCTGTAAATTCTCTGCTTTCCTTAAACATGTTTCAAATTAACTGTCTGGAAAAACCAATGCATTTATGATAGCATGTAACAACAACATTTTCTAGCTCATATTCCCACCGCAAAAATCTGCTTCTTTAAGTAACTATGTACCTGTCTCCATCAGTCAACCTGTGAGTGCACCCACACTAAGATCAAGCAATTTTTTATTTTCAGGCGTATTCTTGGTCATTACAATTTTTTGACAGTATCTTTTCTTCCATGCTTTATATCGAGTATTTTTGCAATTTTAGTCGAGCGACCCTCGCGAAGAAGTCTTCTTAGTCTGTATGTCACGAATGTTGTAAGTTTACCATTAATTCTGTTACCTACCCTAAACTTTTACATAAAATAGCTGCTCCAGATTTTAGTAAGAGGAGAGAAACAGGATAATCACTTTGGGTATGCATACTTTGGGCATACTTGGCCAAAGACTAGCTGGCAACAAATTGGTTATTTTTTTGTGATAGAGAATATCAATAATAAAACCTGACTTTTTCCAGGGGTGAAGTGAAGGAGAGAGAATATATTTGGAACTAGACTTCTCAGTGTGGGAACTAGTTAAAAATTTATCAATCTGAATGGAGGTGGGAACTGCAGTTAAGCTCATGAGCAGCACAAGTTCTCTTTGCCGCCATCAAAATGTTCATTTCTTGACTGTTAAGTTGTCCTCTGACCAAAAGTATGAATATAATAGATTCAGATGTTGGCCAAAGCTTACAAAAAATGTTGAAAAGGCCTTTTTTGCAACTTTCTGATACACTCATAGCAATCCTTTAAATTTTCAATGCCTTGAAAAGTGATCTGAACACACAACATACAAGCTATGAAAGTCTTTTTTTTCTTTTCCAGTCACTACTCCACCTATAGAATGTATATATTTGATTTGCAAAATTCACTCATATTTTTCTGTCTTGCTTTCAGGCCTCTGAAACACTCTATCGCATGGCTGTCTACCGAGGTCTCATAAGACCAATACAGTTTGGAGAGGTACTAATTTTCTCCCTTTCGACCTCATTCCTCCTATACTTCTTCCGGAACCAGCAAAGTGATTCATTCAGGGATTCTATTTTTAGTCTGTTCAGGTATGTTAGCCCAGAAAATCTGCATTTTGAGTCAAAACTCAATTGATTTGCACTAACCCTGGATTATCTTTAATAGTTCTTTATCATGCATAACGACGGTGTAAGTCAGCAATCACATAACTCGGTTTGCGACGTCACAGACTCCCTTTCATACTTTATTTTGTAAACGGAAAACTACTTGATGGCAATTCTATAAAACTGCAGTGATTTTTCTTCACTGTGAGAAGAAAACTCTGCAAAAACTTCAAGGAATACGTCAGTTCGTTCTCCTTTGAAAAAATAACATAGAGGCGGAGATTTTCAGACACCGCAAACGAGTTATGTGATTGCCGACTTACACCATCGATGAGCATAATTTATTTACTACCATTTCCACACTACCACACAGTGATGTTCTAGCTCTTACTCTATTTTTTGTTTTGTAATATTTTTTTTTAAAGGTAGTCGTTCAGGTGGTCGCCGTGTAATATTCTCAGACCTTTTGTGCTGAAGATTTCTTTATTTGCAGGTTTGTTGTTGGACGACATGAAGAAATGAATGATGATAAATCAGAATCATCACCTGTTCCAGGCTCATCTCAAATTAGAAATCTCAATTTTTTCGATCCAGTGTTCCATTTTGCCGATTGGTTGAAACTACAGACTCTCAATCCTTGTTGTCCTCACCCTTTTGGGTGCGCTTACTATGCAGCTCAGGTATGGGGTATTTTCATCTACTGCCAGACTCATTTCAACCGGCAGAACCTACTTTCTGCCATTTTGTTTTTACAAGTGTGGCTATTCAAGGGCAAAGAGACCTTAGTACGTGGGAGTTCGTGTGAAAAGAATCTTTGTCAAGTTGGGTTGAAAAATTGGAATGTGAGTTCCCAGTGGGGAACACTAATTAGTGTCTCAAGCAATTAGTAGGAAGTAATGTAATCAATTTTTGTGCCAAGAGGAAGGGTAAAGTTGTATTCAATTCTATTTTCTTGAGTCCAGAACTTGGCAGATTAGACCTTCAAGTAGCACCTTCTTAAAAGTACGTATGTATTTTGAACTGCTACTTTCATATCATTAAATGTTGGTGTTTTTTTGCTTCAAAATGCTCCTAAAAATTATTCTGACCAGTGACTCCAATATTTAATGTTCACGTTTTTGGTAGCAAGAACCCTTTTCTTGTGAATACTAACAGTATCGATGTATGTGGCTCATTTAGACAATTACGTAATATAATATGATTTATTGAAAACAGCATTGTGACTGGTTAACTCCAATTTATCATTATCCTGGATAAATGTAGAAAATTGCTTTTTTATCTATTCATGCAGTTAAAATCACTATTGTTTTTCCTATGGAAGAAACCAGAAATAGCTCAAGACATACAGCAAAGGCTTCAAAGTAAGAAGTTATTCAATGCTGTTGCCTTGTTGTTATTTTTCTTGTAATTAGCATGCACAAAGTTAATTTTAAAAGCTCATTGCACGTTCAGGAGATCCTAAAGAATATCATATTAAATGATAGAAAAAAATTAGCCAGCATTAAATTTCTGAGTATTCCAGGCAGGGTCCTTTGCAGGAATGGGTCAGTTGCGCCGGTCACAGAATCGTGTTTTGATCTTTGAAGCTTGTGGATCCGATAGAAATAACAAGATCTATTCGAACAGCAACTTTCCATGTCAATATTAACTGAGATATTGTGCTTGGAAAGATTTTGTTTATGACGTCATCCACTGTGGGTGTGACACCCTCGGTTTCTTCCACCTTGCTTTCATCTGAGTTTCACCTTGAGCAAGCAGTAAAAATGTGTGTCTCCTTAACAAATGAAAGCAAGGTGGAAGAAACCAAGGGTGTCACCACCGCAGTGGATGACGTCATAAACAAAATCTTTCCAAGCACTATATCTCAGTCAATATTGACGGTAGAGTTGCTGTTTGGAAAAAGCTTATTATTTTTAGTTGATCTACAAGAATGAAGTACCAAAACACGATACTGTGACCAGTGCAACTGACGCACTGGACCCATCAATGAACCAATCAATCAGATGAAAACTATTGAACAATTTGAAAACAATGAAAAAACTCCATCGTTCAGAACAATTAATGCTTTGAAGGGTCTTTCAACGTCTTTATCACCTTTGTTAGTCTTATTGTTGTTTTCAAAGTATTGCTTTAAAAAGTATCACCATGGTACATTGGTTTCCAATGAATCGATAGGTAGACCCAATGAACCTGATAGCCCCTACATCAAAAGAATCTATTCCCTGTCCATTGTAAAGACCTCGGTATTGTGTAACCTCGGTATTTTTTGTTTGTTTTTGTTCTCAGGGTTTAACTAAACTGTTCGCTGTGGGATATGGTCTCCAACTGAGTTTGAAAATTCTAATCCACTCAAAAAGAATAATGAAGCATCCCAGATTACTCCCCAAAATCATGATTCGACCAGACACAATGAAACTAGGTGCATTTCTTGGTGGTTTCTCCTTCTTGTTCCGGGTATTGACTTACATAAAAAATGATTTTTGCATGACCCCATGCAGGGCTGAATTCAAGCATGAACAGAGCATGGGGAATAAAATTGAGGATGCAAGTGAAGTGAAGAAATTCCTGAGCAGCATGAAAGTTCTCCAGAAAGAGAAGTGCTTGCGCCTTGTTTTGACGTATGGCTGCACAAATGCATGAACACACCCATTTAAAAGTACCAGTGGAAAAACAAGGATGAAAAACGGTCAACAAGGCTAAAAATACACAATTAATGAAACCTGAGACGTTTCGACTCAAAACTGAGTCTGGGGTTTCATTAATTGTATATTTTTAGCCTTGTTTTCCGTTTTTCATCCTTATTTTTCCTTTGTTATCATTGGTTTGGGCTGCTCTTAAAAATTTGTATCTTTAAAAGTACCTATGCACAATATGAGGAAGGACCCAGAAGTTCTCTGAGAAACTGGATCCCTTGTTCAGACCTTCTTTCCTCAAAACCAACAATTTCAATCAAAATACGTAACACTGTAAGGGGAGAAGCATTGAGGAGCGCATTACGCCATTTTGTTTTTACATGCTCAAGGATAGGGACTGAAGTCACGAAAGCATTCCGATGGGGTAGGGAGATGGGGTTTGGAGAGGAAGGGGGGATGAGAAATCCAAAATTCAGTTTTATGTGTTTGATAAAAATCTATTTTTCGAGACAAAAAAATACAAAATATGAGATTTTGTATTTTTTTGTCTCGAAAAATAGATTTTGAGCTTCAAACCCCTTGTGAAAAATTTCTGACTTTCTTACTATCCTCAAGTATGAATAGATCAATTTTATACTAATGAACAAGAGTCAGTGTATATGAGAAACAACTTAATCAGCCAAAATACACATAATAAAAGAACAACTTAATTTGGGGAAAAGGCTGCAAATAAAGAACAAAGAATGAACAAAACCCGGAACGTTTCAAAATAATTACAATTTCATTTTCAGTGGGTGTAAAGCATGTCTTAGATTAGATTTTTTTTCCCTCTCCAATTTTATTTTTGGCACGAGCAAAGATACTCCTTGCCATTGCTAATTTTGATTTTGTGAATGGTCTCATAGAAATTAAACATATTTTTTCTTCTTTCCATCTTTACTATTGGTCCTCCTTTTTTCAGGCGGTTTCATGTTCGCTGCGGAAACTTTATGGAAGGGATGATCAAAAATTTGCCATACCAGCAGGATTCCTAGCAGGCTTTTCATTCTTCTTTTATAGGGACAATACCATTGCTCTCTATGTTATGTGGAAAACTTTTCAGGTAACTTTACACTTATTGATTTCTAGGGATACAGAAATTTCTTATTCCATGGATAGCAGTCGAGTGACTGAGATGGAGACTGAGGCAATCATCAACAGTCATCGCGTCACTGTGCTTTACAAAGCATTCTGCCAGGGAGAAATAATTACCTGCTTTTGCGGGTGTCCGGGGCAACTTTTTCGGGTCTTTTGAATTTTTTTCTTTTCATTTGGACTGCAGCAAGGTACTTAACTACCAAGTTTAAAGGAAATTGCTGCAACCAATTTTTTCTTCTTTTTTTACAATGATATAGTGAGCTGGTACAGCAGTTTTGTATAAATATATTTAATCCATCATCTCTGATTCTTTTATTTATCATATTACTTGTTCTTGTAGGAATTTTTCCTGTATTTACTGTCAATGCATATTTCATAGTTATTTCTCATTTATATTATATATGGAAGGAGTAGGAATTAACTAAAAACTTGAAAGAATCTAAGCTTTTTTTGTAAATGGTTCTAAACCCACTTTCTTCAAATTCTTTTGTGGCAAATTTAATGTTAGTGTGAGATGAATATATGTAGCTTTTTGATTGTCAACAGCTTTAATTATAAAAATAGCGGGTCAAATTCAGGCGGACTTAAAAATGCTAATGCCTCTCGCTCAAGGTTTTTTTTCTTTCTTTTTTTTTTCATTTCCGCGGAGACTTTAGGGTGTGAAGAGTTCATCAAATTCAGGCGGCATAGATAGCAGCTAAAGGATACCCCTTTTATGATACTAATTTGAAGAATTTCGTTTTTTATTTACAGATTCTGTACAATCGTGGTGCAGAAAAGAAAATGTTACCAGAGTTACCTCAAGCTAGTGTATTCTTCCATTGCCTTTCTACAGCAATTCTTTTCCATGCAGCCTTGCTTGAGCCTCATAACCTAAGACCTTCGTACTGGCGATTCCTCCTAGGAATGTCTGGCGAGCGGTATGTATCATGCCTGAGCAAGTATTACTTTTCCAGGCAAATTATATACTACAAAAGGTATCCTAACAACGGGCCTGTTGCAAACTTTTGCTAGAACAAAAATACGAGTAATTCCATGTAGAAAATGTCTCAAAAATCACGATGAGCGCATCAGCAAAGTCTGAAATGCACTCATAATTTTACAATCTGCGCAAAGAAGTATGTGTTTTTTTAAACTTTCCGTTTTAAAATGATTTCGTACAAAAACATGTTGTAACTCAACCCTTGCTCACAAGGATGCTACGCAATATTCAACTCGGTCTATGCCAGTCCGCCAATATACATGGGACGGGAGAAGATTCTAACCACCTGACAACAATCGGCATTTCTACATTCACATTTTCCTTGCGTCGATAGATATCTGCCTTGATTGACCTTGTACTCCTCTCGACTTGCACGCGGAAGCGCGGGCCATGTTAAATATTGCAAAACATCCTAGTGAGCAGAGGTTGAATAGGATGACGCCTCTAACGAAATGTTCACCTATGCGGTAGTATCATTTTTGAAGGAGGAATCCTAAAAAACGCAAATTTTTTACACAGATTGTGAAGTTAGGAGTGCATTTTAGACTTTGCCAATGCACTCATCATGATTTTTAAGGCATGAGGAACGACTCTTATTTTTCTTCTAGCAAAAGTTTGCAACAAGCCCATTATGAAGAACTGATCTTATACAAAACATATTGAGAAGCACAAGAAAAGAAAACAACAAATCAATATTTAAGGAACTTACTCTCAATTTTTAAATAAATTAATGTGAATGCTACCAGTTTGTCACAAACTTCAGCTAGAGCAAAAGTAAGAGCTTTTTCTTAAATCCATCTCTCCAAAGTCAAAATATTGCCCAAATCTAAAATTCACCCCTTTTTCCATACAATTTGCGTAAGAAGTTAACACATTTTTTTAGCCTCCTGCTTCAAAAAGTATAAAAATACTATGGCAAAGACAGATTGTGATACTAATGGTTACAGGGTATCATAACTCTTTGTGAAACCTAAAATGTTTGCCCTCATGCAATGTAGTCTCTCCATTAAGAACAACCTGACAAACGTTTCCTACTCAACATCTTAACATTCCTGCTTGCCAGGTTTCATTAATTGATAGGTATTTTTGTTGTTTGTTTCTATCCAAGTAATTTTGTCATTACGGCAGCCATTTTAACACCAAATTATGAAATCAGGTTGACTTGTCTATATCGATTTATGTTTTTGGCACCAGTTACTTTTTGAGCAGGTTAACTCATAAATGCAAAAAGTTGCAGGTAGATTGTGAAGTACCTACAAAGTGAATTTCAGACTTCGCCAATGTGCTCATCACTATTTCTATGCCAACTTTCCAAGGAGAAAACTCATTTATTGCTCCAGATGAAGCTTGCAAAGGTTACAAAAATCGTGCCATATATTGTGGATATTTTACATGGGCTTAAACAAGGAAAAGAGCTGAAGTAGCACTATCTGGCAACAATTACTCATTTGTGGAGGTCTTATCCTTCCTAATTGGTGGTATTGGCTCAGATCTTTGAAAGACAATAGGGCATAGAATATCCTGGAAAGTCGTTCAGCATTGAGTTAAATTTGAGGAATGCGAATAAGTAAATTAAGCTCTCTGTATTTCACTTCATGTTTTTACAAATTAAACTTGACTATATGTATATGTTGCTCTTATAATATACTCTGGCCCTTTACGACACCCAAACTCACCATGTATCTGTCTTCCTAAGAGTTACTGGACAAATGACATGGCAGAATCTCATCGTTGATTCTATGCCACCATCCTTTCTTAGAATGAACCCCACAGCCCTTTTACAGGAGGTACCCAGTCTAAAACTTGTTTGGGCAACCTCTTATCCGACATTCTTTACACTTGTTTATACCACACTAACTGCCTGCAGCCTGATAGTTGAAATTTTGTGTTTGTCGGTTAGACATAGATGACATAGGTCAAAAGGCGGAGCGTGATTGGTCAGCTATGTCTTATCGCTACTTTGTGATGTGGAATGGACGACATATTGTCGGAAACTTAAGAGGTACCTTTAGCTTATCATTAGTTCCACCCGACATAGGAATGACAAAGCAGCGATAAGACATAGCCGACCAATCACACTCCACCTTTTAACCTATGTCATCTATGTCTACCTGACAAACAAAAAATTTCAACAATCAAGCTACTGGACATAATGCTGTGCACCATGTTACTTTTAACATTTATTTTCTCAAGACCTTAATCATCACATAACATGGTCCCTTCCTGAGATGTTGAGCCTTATTCAAGATTAAACTAGACATGACTTTATAGATCTAAATTCGGAATTTTTCTTTTTTTTTTTTGCAGAGTTGCCAGAATGGATAGGAAATGCTTGGATGCCTTTGGACTTGAATCAAGCAAATCTTTAGAGCTCGTTTTGAGTCGTACCAAACTTGAAACTCGACCTGTTCTGTGACGGAAGCAATATTTCAAGCTCAGGTGTCAAAACTGTTATTGTTGATCTAATTGTAAGGTTTTTTCAGGAGAATGGCCTTGTCTCCACTGAATTTCCCTTTGGAATTGATTGCTGCAAAGAGTTGCGCCAACAAACTTTATTTGAGAATTTGAAGGAAAAAACGAAAGACCTCAAAGGTTTGTAACTAGATCTGTTGATTGTCGCAATTAATTTTGAGGAAGTTGGATTAATTGCCAATATGTTTTGCTGCAATCAATTGCAAGAAAACACCTATGGAGACTTGACCTAATAATTATTACAATGGCTCCTGGCATAAGTGCAAGATTTTGTTTGATATTTTTTTTAAAATGAAATCATGGAGTCTCATACTCCACTGATAACTTTTAGAATCAAAGCAAAGATCTGTAATGCGATGAAGAACAAGGTGATATAGCGTATAGTTAAAGTTTCATGAATTTATAACTTATCTTTATTAATACGGTTTTTTGTTACGTTTTTATTTTTACTTTAAGAGTTGGAAGCACAATGTATATGGGTAAAAAAAAACCATCAGTCTATCTAAATGTTCGATAGCAGAAGTAACAAGTTGTTCAAGAAGCCATACTAATTCTGAGTAAACTGGAAACTACGCAGGTGTAGAATTTCCTATGCTGGTTCAGACATATCATTGAGAAAAAAAATGTAAAATTGTGACTTGATTAATAATTCGACCTAATTTTGTGAAGGTATTTTATTCAATCTAATGGCGAAGTGAGAATTGCTGTTTGTTTGTTGTTTACGGATTAGCACAAAGAAGTAAGACTAATCCGAACCCCAAGTTTTTACATGTACTATTAATAGAGATTTCTTCCTTTAACGAACATAACCATTGCTTGACACACATAATGATGATAGTGAAGATGATGATGTAAACCAAGGTGACCATTACCAAGGTGACCGAGGTGTAATTAGACCAAGGTTGAAGAAACCATGGTGTGCATTATTATCAACATCAAAGCTGACATCATTGGATCATTACATATATAAGTTGAGAACTGAAGCACCTTAAGATGTGTCCCCTCATCCAAATTTTTCGTAGAATACATTTAACCACGTAGCTAAAATATTCAAAATTGACACAAAAAAGGCTTGACATATTTGGGATTTCTGTGTCCCTAAATGTTCTCAAACTCTGCCACAAATAACAGTATAAATATCTCAGTTTCATGTGGTTTTTTTTTTTTTTTTTTTTTTTTTTTTTTTTTTAGCATTGAAGTTCCGTTTTTCATGTAAATTACTTTTTTTCTGGAGGGTGCTGTATCTTTTAACATTGAACATAAAAACATTGCTTTGGGTTAATAACTAGACCTGTGCGATGTAGATTATGGATTTTTCGAACGATTTTACGATTAACGAAATTAATCGCAATTATGATTAAAATCAGGGAAAAACTGAAATAGTCAAACAGAGCGCAATATTAATTTTTTTTTTTTTTTTTGGGCTGTTGTGACCAAAAACAAAGTTGAAGTATCTAAGTTTTTGAAGATATTTTTTTTAAAAAGTTTGAAAGCGCAAAACGCGGTGCGAAACTGGACATTTCGTGAAGTCAAATTAATCGAATCAATCACGATTAATTTCTCAAACCAATTACAATTACAACAAAAAAAATTAATCGCGATTACGATTAACGTACGATTAATCACACAGGTCTACTAAGTACACTAATTTTTAGAGTTTTAGCATAAAAATACAATTCTGTAACTATGTAGTGCCACAAACCATTTTAATTTAAGTAAGATATGTGATGAACAGGGTTTTTTTTTTTTTTTTCATTTTTTATTAAATGGGAAAAAAAATTTGGAGTAAGCAAGTCATCATATGTTTATGCAGGTTCCTGTTTATTCATTGGTAAAAGATCTGTATCCCAGAGGTAAACCAAATGATCAGTTAGTTATTTTTTGATTGCACAAGATTGGAATCCAATTAACAATGTATCTACCCTGTCTTTTAAAGAGAAGAAATACAGTGTAAGAACCAATGCATCACAACACATGTCTCCTCTGAACACGTTGTCAAAGTCATCTCTGCACACTCTTGAAAACAGACTTATCATTGGGTGTATAAGTAGAGTTGAGTTTCACAGTAAATCCTTACTCCTCAAATACAAAGCTTTTGAAGGTTGTCTCTCTGTTCTTCGCTAAGTTCAAACTCTATGCAATGCAAGGAAAATGGAATGAGAAAGCAATGATTTCAAAGAATCATTCATCAATGAATTCATCAAGAGATAAATCTCTTGAAAAGCGTATACAGAGAAAGGAACGAGATAATGGGAAAGCAGGGGTCCAGCACAAGCAGACTTCCTAACTTGTAAACTTGTCAAGGATGATTTAAATACCTAGTAGGTACGTTTAGAAATTTACTTTATTGTTAAGAAGACTGTGACTGGTACAGTTTCTACTTGAACTCTAGGAGATTTTGGTTTTTTTTTTTTTTTTTTTTTTTTTTTTTGCCAGTAAAGAGTTTTTTTTTTGCAGCAACTTTTTCAGCAGATGCAGGAGGTTCCTTATCTACGAGCCATGCTGATTTTCTTCTTTTTGTAGGTGATGTTTGTTTTGGCGATTTCGATTGCCTTCTTTTTGGCGGCATCTGTAATGTGTAAATGAAGGGGAACGTGCATCTTTCTCCCATGTGAGAATTTTCATTGTGTCCACTGAGTCGTTGATGAAATTTGACTGCTTTACAGTCCAATCCTGGGAAGTACTTTGCAACTCAGGTGTTACTCTCATGATTTTATATTTTATAGTAAGATATGTGTTGTGTTAATGAGAACATGTGTTGAAATGCTTGGTTACTTTTTTGGTTTCTGGCGACCAACTCAGAAGCATTCCTCTTGTTGCTGAAAACACTTGGTTTAATTCAGTGATGCTACCCAAATAATTTTACCCGGCTGACTCATCTTGTGAGACTTTTCTGTTAGAAAGAAGAGGGGAGTAAGCCTTGTAACCCCGCTAAAATAGTGCAGCTTTTTAGAAACTGCTCACAGAGTTACGACTGATCGGTATGAAATCTTTTTTACAAGAGCGATGCATCATATAGCTGCAGTATTGGTTTACAATGAGAATGGTCTGAAGTAAAGGTAGACAACAGAATCCCTGTCTGCAGCTCTGATCCTACTTTAGGTACTGTTTAATGCCAGTGCTTTCGATATCAGGTGTATCATTAATGTAACTACTTTTTGCAATCAGAAACTACTATTTCTTCCAAAGGGTTTCCATAGTTCCTTCTTATTTCAATTCTTTAACTTTTCCTCAAAATTTCCAGGCTCCCTAATTTTTCCAGAAGTTTGCTCAAAACCTTTACGCGGACCTTTTTCTTTTAACTAAGCTAATTTTTGCTTAACCTTGAACATTTGTCCACTTCTAGAGATTTAAATTAAGGAATAAGGCACTCCAAAGTTGTTTGTGCCCTGAATGGCGCCAGCTGTAGTTGCTGAGCCAACGCACTAATCGCAAATAGTTCCCTGACGTTCCAGGTTTTCTAACCTGCCAGAAGGCCAGCTTCTGCCTGCTTTCGTGGATGAGCTAGATGTAAAAGTTCCTTCTTGCAAAATGTAGTCAATTTTATCGCACTACACTTATATTTTAATCTGTTCAGATCTATTTTCAATTGGACTGCATTTTGCAATTTAGAACTATAAAATCTGGCCTGGTTAGAAAACAACGTATGTGACATTAGTTTCCCTATGCACATAAGTGTTTTTTCAGATGAGCCAGAATTTATAGTTCCAAATTGCAAAATGCAGTCCAATTGAACCCCACTTTAGTTCCACTTAGTTTCCACTTTTTGTGATGTTTTTCAAATACATTCCTCATTATAATTAAAAAATGAATATGCTCTGAGCATTGTTTAAAATTGAAACATTACTTCAGTTGAATTTTTATTTTTTTAAAATTAACTACTGCCTTAATATACTCTACCCCTCATGATTTTTTTCAATCTTTGTCCTGCTTTGATTTCTTTGAACTCAAAGGAACCTTAGTTCTAAAATTAGCTCTCAAAACACTGTTGTTTAACTCAGTTTCCTTGGAAATAATCTAATCGTGTATGCATTTTTTAATTTCCTTGAAATATATTATGCAGTTGCACAAGTATAGCAGTATTGCAGGGCTTGCTTCCTCCCACACTATATTTGAGAATGGATTTTGAAGTAAGTTTACCTACCTTATTCCTCCCCAGAAGCACCAACATAACGTACAGGAAAAAACCCAACTGGCTTTGAAATGTACATTTTCCTAACTCTTTAATAAGCTATAGTTTTTTTTAAAATTTAGTTCATTAGTTTTAGTTTCATTGTAGTAATTAGTAAACTTACTTCAAAATCCACCCTCGTACAACCCTATCCTCCTTTATTCAATTTGTTTTGAATTGTACACCTTTGTGAAAGTGATTCCTGCTCAGTTCATACCTGAAAAGAGGGTGTGTTCATTATTAATTAAATAGCATTTGTCATTGATGTCTCTAATTGTGCCTAACGAGCTGTGAAGTGACCCAATCATTTGATACTTCTGTAGTTGCACATTTAAGTGTGAGTATGTATTGAAATTTTATGAAAAATATATCTTCATGTTTCAATGGTGTCAGCTATACCTGAATTTCCCATTGGCAGCTTAACATCAACAAAGGATCTTACTTGGACCGCGACTAACAGAAAAGAAATCAAGCCACATCAGCTATTGTCAAATTTAATTGGGTGAATAATCTTTTTACATGAAAACGGTCATGCGAATTTTTAAGCGAAGTTCAGTGAATTTTCTGCATAGTGCGAAGCAAATTCCTTCAAATTTTCAAAGGAATCCGCACAAGCGTTCTCTTGAAAGGAATTAAATTTCTCAGTTAAATTTGGCAATAGCTGATGTGGCTTGGTTCCTTTCTGCTGAACAAGGTCTATTTAAGCCTATTTAAGAAATAATGTGCCGACACAAAATCTGTGGCCAGTGTAAAAACAAAATTTATCGATCAAATTTCTTCCAGTATTATTATTTAATATTTTTTTCTTGGTGGGTGTGTAGAATAAAAAAAAATGGTACAGTAAAAGTCATGATGTTCACAAATTTAAAGAAAAAATACAAATTACCTTCAATATTTATCGTTCATCTATTCCTTGATTAGCTTCGGTGAACAAAGAATTTTTAACATGATCGCAAAAGATCATTGCTTTTTGCATTCAAGAAAGGGGAGGGAGAAATGGAGAAAGGAAAAAGCTATGACTGAACAATAAAAAAATTTATTTCAAACAGATAATTTGATAACAGGCCTTGTCTTTGAACAAGCCTTGGTCACACTTTTAATAGGTATTTTTTCCAAATCTTATGATCTCGCAGTCACTATAAACTGGAAATGATAAAACGACTAGTGCGTTGTTATTCCGTAACCTTCCGGCCAAAGTATCACAAGTACCGCTGTGCCAGGGTGACGATTTGATGTCCTGCTAAATATTAACAGCAAAGGACAGCCTCCTTTCATCCATCAGTCATTTTCCCTCCATAACACCTGTGTGACTTTGAGATTAATGAAAATAATGTTGGAGTGACCAAGGCTGAAAACTCACAATGATTAAAAAACAGGCAAAGAAGTTTTTTTGGAGGGGGGGCAGAGGACAATGAAATAAAAAACAATCATTGTTTTGAAATCACAGCGAAGCGAGCATTGACCAGTCAGGAAGTGTGCGTTGTCTTTGCCAGGGTACGACTCCGATAGGACAAGCATTCCATCCAAAATCACCTGAGAAATAGATGGGAAGATGAGCAGAAAAAGATTATGGAATACTCATACGGTTCCTTCCAAAATTAAAATAAAGGATGGTGGGAATTTTTGCAAAATAGAATCTTACATTATAAGAGAGGCCTGAAAAACTTTTTCCAGATAAAAATCCTCAGTTGATGGGGACATATGAAGAACTAAGTAATCAAAATTACATAAATTAGTCATCATCTCGGTTCATACAGCCTTGAAAGGCTTGATTCCTTAGAAGATGTAAGAAAAGCGTTAGAATTTTTCTATTTACTGATTTTCAGCGTTGATGGCACGCTGTTTGGAGAAAAAACAGAACACTTGATGTCAAATAGATCATTTAGAAAGGCATCCCACTTTCAAAAAGAAATGCGATCTGCTTTCAAAATTCCGTATTCGGACCTATGATTTTGGGAGAAAGCTGTGGGCTTGGAAAAAAATAATGACAAAGGTTGTGAAAAGCGCTTGATTTTTTCTTGTTGAGGCTGGACGGACCATGATCATGGTCTAACAAGGAGTTAGTCTGGGAAAGTTAAATAATATTCTACATACAGATTTATAATTTTTTGTGCTTTTACTTTTAGCTCTTTCTGTGCCTCTTTCTTTCTCTTCTGAAAAAAAAAGAAAACTCACTGGCGCTCCAACCTACTCCTGCTTCATAAATTTCAGAATAATCTGCAGTTCATTTTTGCAGACTTTCAGGTAAATCCTAAGGGTTAAATTCCGCAATTTGCCTTGATTTCAATGCAAGATAAAGTTTATCCCGCAGGGTGATCACTTTGGAATACCCAAAATTTTAGTCTCTCGATTAGTCTATCAGAAGTGTTTAAGAAAAAGATCCTTTTTTAAGGCCTTACAATTATGTACCTACTGTATTTACCCGCATATCGTACACAACCCAAATTTTAGGGTCCTTTGAAAAAAAACAAAAAACGGGGGAATCTTATCTTAGGGCAATACCTGTGTATCGTACGCACCCTTCATTTGAAATCCGAAATTTTGAAAAAAAGGTACATACGATACGCGAGTAAATACGGTAAGTTGAAAGCATCTTTCTTAATTTTCAATTGGTTCTAACGTAAGTATTTCTATGGGAAATTAATTACAGTACTCACAGCTTTATTATGTGCTTTTAGGAGATGATTTAGGAGACAAATTTTATGACTTATACATATTGATACTTACATAATGCTTTCCCAATGATGAACACCTCGTCAGATTTTTCATTCGACCAGCCTACCAAAAATACAACCTGCTGAATCCAATTATCCAATTATGGGAACTGTTGGCAAAAGACAGGATCTAACCTATACTAAATCAAACCTTACCTTGAGCACGACTCCATATCCCAAATGGACCAGGCAGTGATTCTAGAGCAGGAACTTCCTCTTCTTCTTCCATCAACATCTCCCTGTTTTCTTCATCTGTTCCGTTTATTACCGCATCGTGAGGCTCATTGAAGAGATTTTCTAAAGACTTGACAACCTCATTGTCCTCAGCACTGCTGATTTTTTTCCCCAAGTATATTTTGTGAAGTTCAATTATCAATTTTCTCTTCTTACGGTCTAACTTGGGCTCTCGTAAATCTAGCAGCCTAGGGTTGGAGGAGAAAAATATTCACCATTACATATTATTGATTATCAATGGTAAAACAAGCCTTGGTTAGAAAAAAAAAAAATCTGGAAATATTGCAATACTGCTACCACTGCCTTAGCATGGTTTACTACAAATATTTTGCCTTGGAAGTGCTTTAAATTGTAAAAAAAAAAGAAAAAACGAAAAAAAAAATCAAAGTTATGACTACCATTTTTAGTTGGACGATGTCTCGACTAGGAGGACGATAGGGTACTCTCAGCCACAGAAATTGCAAAGTGGAAATTGAGAACTTTAAAATGGTTTCTGTTGACCAAAATTAAAAACTTGACTTCTGAGTTTTACCCGGATCAAGATGAAAAAAGATTTCCTTGCCATTGCCTCTTAGAGTTTTCAGGATCAGAATAATACTTATCTTCTGACTTTTTCCTATTTTTCCCCCTTAAGTACAGATTAATTAAGGTTCGTCAACTATATCATTTTGCGATTTGAGACTACAAATTTTGAATCATCTGAAAAAACACTTATGTGCATAAGAAACCTAATGGTACGTACGTTGTTCCTTAACTATAAAATACGTTCTTTAATGAACACTAGCGAATAAGCATAAGAAATGGAGGCATTTTCAACAGTTACGGCTATGAATATAGAGGTCCTCAGTTGTCCTTCCCTAAGCTACGATTTTCTAGACTTTCTCTTTCAACAGTTCCGCAAACTCCAAAAACAGAGGAGAATCAAGTCAGAGGATGAATTCAGTCTTTTCAAGTGTTATTTTCTAATACCTATTTATTTGTAAAATTTATCCCCTGATCCTTTGGCTTTCTGGTCCTTCAGACGTCTTGAACATTACAATTAAACTTAAAAAAAGAGATAAAACTGACCTCGGAAGATAATGAACGGTTGTTTTACTGGGATTTAGGCAAACATTCTCCACTAGCAGCTGAAGTTTACTCTTGTCCGGAAGCTGATTTAGATTCAGAGTTTCAATATCAGATGACACTGGATTTGCGCTATTTTTAAATACTGAGAAAAACTCTGATAGCCAATAGGCTGCCATTTTTCCACGGCTACCTTCATCAGCATTTGCTAGGTCTTTCAAGGCTAAGACTAAGTTGTATACAGTGTTTTTTGAGAGATGCTTCAGTATTTGCCACCATATCTCAACCCATTCTCTGGGAAGAGAACCATCTGTGAACAAAGAGAATGAAGGCTTCTAAAATAAAAATGAAAAAGAAAATCTTTTACACACAGTAGGCAATATTTGTTCCACTCAACATTTTTTTCTAAATCTCAAGGCCTAAAATCAATATGAAGTAAAAAAACAATGGCGAGTGAGTGTGTCAATATTTAGCGACTCTTTAATACAAACTAAAAAGGGAAACATATATTTCTGTAATTAGAAAATTAAAAGGTACTTACCTTCGGAACCTGACAGCATATTTGTAGCCTCTACAGTAAAGATATTAATTAAAACTTCATCGTTTTTGGACTTAGAAGACTTTTGCTCAATTAAACGCTGCAGTCTTCTTGAAAATTTCTGACGAACGTCAGTTAATAGGATAAAATCAGTATCTGCGAGTTGAAAAGATTTGAGCAGGCCATCCTCATCTAGCTTCTTGAGCAAAGCTTTTCTGCAGAGACAAAATTAAACCAACATGAGTAAAATTTGAGTTGAAGGGCTTTCCATATACTGCACAAAGTAAATTTTATAGTATTTTCACCCTTTAACACTTCACAGTGCTGTATTTGACATCCCTCTAAACACTGAGTGCCTTCGGCTTTAAACCTTCCTTCTCCATCCAGACTTCTAAAGATGTAATAAAAATCATAAGATATAATCAAAAAGGGTCGGGGCCTTTGTGAGGAGTAAAAAAAAAAGAAGAGGAATTTTTAATTCCTTGATTGATGTAAGTACATACTTCACACTGCTAAATACATTCCTATCACTCACAATGCAAAATGGCAGCATTGGTAACACAGATCTAAACCCGTCATTTCTTGCGAGTGTTAGGTAAATTATAATTGGCTCCTGGTCTCTGATTATGAGATTTTTCATGAATAGACCACTAGACAAGGTACGAATTAAAGGATTCTGATACATTTTTCTTAACCAGAATTTCACGTAGAACACGCTTTGCACAACGAAAATGACTGAAGCCAACTCCTAACGAAGATATTAACGTTTTTATTCCACATTGGTTACGAGGAATTCGAACTGCCCGCTCACAAGAAACTCAAAGCTCTACGTGAGTCAAATCGCGCACTACAACGGTTTCAGCAATCTTTTCAATCGAGCAACATTCATTTCCCACCATGTATTGTTCAAACTATAAGCAATTTGCTACAGCTGAGCAAAAGCGTCAAAATTGAGGTTGCCAGATTTTCATATTGCAGAGACTGTCATTATAAACGTTTAGCGCGCGATGTGAATCACGCTGAGTATTGAGTTTTCATGAGCGGGTGGTTTGAATTCACGCATCAAGAATCATTAAATATAATCGTGAGGAGTTAATTTCGGCGATTTTCGTTGTGAGCATCGTGTTTTACGGGAAATTTTGGTTAAGAAGCATGTATCAGAATGCTGAAATTCGTACCTTGTCTAGTGGTCCATTGTGACAGGACATTAGTGGAAGTTAAAATTTACCAAGAGGAAAAGGGCATGTTATGTACCTGGATTTTGATTGAAGTATGGGAAAAAGTTTTTTAACATGAAACTATTGGACCACTTTTTTAATGTTTTGGCATATGGATTCCAGAGGATCCAAAAAATTTGCATCAAAACTTGGCAAAAAGTGCTTGCTGAAGAGGCAAAATAATGCTCCTGCGGTTACAGCCCCCAATAGCTTACTGGCTTACAGCATCACTTTCAGTCAGTGGAGTCTCCAAGGCAGAATTCCCGGCACTGCCATGTAATTTTTGTTTGTTCCTGTGATCATTTAGTCTTAATTTTTCCTCACTTTTGTAACTATGTATATAAACATCTTTTTTGGGATACTTGTGGAATATACGATGATTCTTAATTATTTTGATACCTAGTGATATAATGATGGAGTTCACAATAGAAAAAGGAATGAATAGAAACATACAAGAAAAATGAGGAGCCATGTGAGACTTCATTTCTTTCCTTTGATAAAGGACGGGGGGTTAGGAAGCTCAAAACTGGAGTTTGGAAAGTTTTGGAAAATTTTGTGGAGATTTGCAATGGAGCTCTAGCATGTGTCAGGAATTTGCGGTTTAAACACCGATGACTGTGTAAAATTTTGCGAAAAACACTATGGTGTCACTGGTTTTCTCTGAAAACAATTCCAAAGCTAAAAAAAATCCTAAAGATAAGGTCGTAATGGAGGGGATATCCCACACTACCCTGAGAGTCCACCTCTATATCAAGACAAACTTTCTATAGAAAGATAGGGAACAAATACTCAGCAGGGTTGCTATGTTTTCAATTTTGGAGTCTTCTAGTGCAGCAACCATGTAAATGTATTTGTTACCTGTCTTTGCATGAATAATTCATCTTGATATAGAGGTGGACTCTCGGGGTAGCATGAGATATCCCCTCCATTGCAGCTTCAATTTCGAGAGCTTCGGAGTTGATTTCAGAGAAAACCAGAGGTACCACCATGTTTCTCACAACATTTTACACAGGAATCTGTGCTTAGATCGCAAATTCCTGATTCATGCGACAGCTTCATTGCAAAACCTTCAAAACTCGAGTTGAAACAGTTTATTTTGGAATTCTGGATACAGTCATATCTTGGAATGATGGTTAATTTATCAAATGAGGAGTATTTCACTTTTTGAGTGTTCACTTGAACAGTCTGGATTGTCTTTTAAAAGTCTTTCCTTGTGCTAGAATATTTGTGTGCTCATACTTAAATATTTAATATTCTTACCCTTCTGGTGAAGAATGTAGTTGGTCTAACGTTGAGACGCCTGACTGACAAAGTTTACTGATACTAACGTAGTGTTGAATTAGATTGGCCAGCTTTTCCTCCCAGCCTTTTTCACCTTCTTCTGGAACTGAGTACCCTTGAGAAATGTCAGCTTCGTCTGCCCAGTAGTTTTCCTAAAATGTTGACATCAGAAAAATAATGTGAAAACATTCAGACGAAATTGGAGGGAGAAAAATTTCTCTGATTAAAAAACTAAAAAAAAACTATTCTTAGCCTCGTAGCTCATGTCTTACCCCCTTTCTTTCCCCATTCGTATCATTGATCGGGACTAAGTATTGAAGCTCCATGAGGTTATGCAAAAAATCAGTCTTGCTTGGTTACTCGTGATTCTCCCTGTTATGCATTTCCTATCCCTGCCTTCTTCTTGACCAATTTTAGTTCCTCGATTCCCCTTTTTTTCTGGTTGCTATATATTCTATGATGTTCTCTTTATGTTCCATATCGGCGGTGAAACTGCAAAAATGCAAACCTTGGTTATGATGTTTCGAAACTTTCCCTCCTATTTTATTTCTTAAAAGGAGACCAAACCAACAACATAGCTAGAAGTTTTTACAGAAAATTCTTAACACAGAGAAGAAAAATCACTGTAATTTTCAAAAAAAGGCAATCAGTAACTTTAATGTAGAGAATAAAAGATGACAGGAAGTCTGCAACGCCGCAAACCGAGATACTCGTTTCTGCAGTTTCACAATCAATATACAATTTTGATGAGGAGACATGTATGTATTAGTCCATAATATTTTATCCTTCCTCATAATCCACTACAAATATTTTGTTCGTACTGCTACACAATTTTCATGTTAAAATTATGACACTCCAATGTTCAAAACCCTTGAGCTATTCACGTTTAGGCCACTTAATATTTAGAGAGTAGTAGATCTTTAAGGTCACGCAAAGAAGACGGGAGCAAGACCTATTTGCTTTCAAAAATAACGCAAGCAAATGAGTAAAATGACTTCCCTCTTAGTTTGGAATACTCCTGTGCAGCCTTTGCAATAGATTTATAATAGTTTTCATTCATTAACATTTCAATGTCTCTCTACTTTTTGCGTAAAACTTGCTAGTTTTCTACAAAATATGAAAATGAACAGAAGTTTTAAAGTTCAATCTTGGATTCCGAATCTTACTTGAAGCCAGTTGAATATGAATTCAATTGCAGATTGTAATAAATACAAAGGAGGAAAGGCTCTCCCATGAGCAGCATCATGGCGTATGTTGACAATCCAATCCGGAATGTTGAGTTCACTGGCCGCTCTGTACATTGTCGACACTTCTGCGCTTTTAAGTTCAGTGATGAAATTGAGGGACCTTGCACAGAAATGACAATGAAAACAATTACATCTATTTGTAAATTAAGCAATATTGTACTGGAATATAAAAAGTTATTTTGTTCTATCACTAGGAAAAAAACTCCGATACAGTTAACCTCGTATGAGGCAAACTTTTTTGAAGTCTTGTCGCATTTTTCATGAGAACAAAAATCCCTTTACTTAAGTGGAATTCCTCTCTATCTAGAACTAAAAATCTGGTCCCTGTACAGTTTGACTTAGAGGAAGTTAACTGTAATTGGTCTACAAGCTAACTACAGGGCTTCTTTGTGGGCCCGAACTTAAAAAAAAATAAACCAACAAAAAAATAGATGATTCTTGTTTTACCTCATTATTACACTGGTGTAAATTGGTTCTAAGGAATAGACTTGAGAGCAAACTTTGCCACCAGCCGCATTTTGAGCACTTGCTATCTTGTCTTCAAGCATAACTTTCACAATTTCCATTGTGCATTCTACACCAACAGGAAGAATAGGACATCTGAAAAATAACAACTGGATTACACGCTGCTAAAAAGCATTCATTTCTACATGCTTTTACTTTGCAAAGTTTGCAAAAAAACCATGGAAACAGGGAAGGACATTCCAGGGCACCTGATCTGACGCATACGACAACCGTCAGATCGAATAATTTTTCCATGCTAAGTAGTATCACTCAACAACTTAAACCTAGAATATTTTGGTCTCCCCACCCCATCGATTTGTGTGATTCATCTCATGAACTGTTTGGCCAAGGAGGCTGTATTAAACACAGCTAATTTTTAAGTGATACTGCTTGACACACAAAAAATTATTTGAATCTTATACAGTGTGAGGGTTTCTTGCAGTTCCGTTTCACAGAGAATAAGACTTGTTCAGGACTTAAAAGTTGCTTGGCTTCCTTCCTTGCAATTTGATTCACATGTTCCTTAGGGACTAGATATGATCCTACAAACAGCCAATTACAGCTTTGTCAAGAGGTAATTACTGAAAGCCATATTCATAAAACCAAGCACGTTCTTTTTTTCGTAATTAGAAGATTATCATCAACTGTTCTAGTTGGTCCAGGGAGTGAACTTTCTTTCACAAATAGGATATTTTATGAGTAAAATTCTTGAGATTTTATGAGTAAAATTCTAAGATTTTATGAGTAAAATTTATACAATTTTACCATGGATTGACAGGTTCAAAAAAGTAGGACACATAGATTATGACTATAGCCTTCATGCCCTATGTGAGTGTTTCAATGTGTTAGTGAGAAAGAAGTAATGAACAGTTGTAAACTAGACATGAAAACAAACAAACCTCACTTTCCAAACTTGAAGGATTTGGTACCCTTTTTCGAGATCTGACAATTCACTTGAGTAGAGTAATTCTCGTACATATTTCCACTCATCCCTGAAAGAGAAGGGAGGAGAGTTAAAATACTTAGCTTTGACAAACGATTACATCCTAGAAGGAGTAACACTTAACAAATTTATGGTCAGTGGTGGCTGTGCTCCTTGACAGAGGGCTTCTAAATAGCTGCCTTAACACTGCGTAAGGTAATAATGCTGCCGTGATAGTGAAGAGAGCAGTAAGAGCATTTCTTTATGAGCCTTGGCTAGCACATGTTTTAATCGGTCTCGAGGATCATTCCAGAATGCACATACTGCTCTCTTTGATATCACGGCAGAATGATGCTGAAGGCTAAGGGCTCTTTTCCGATTGATCAACATTGTATGAGGTGTTTTTTAGAGTGAGGAATCGAAAAAATATTAGCGGTAGGTAGATACTAACGCAGCTTTGAATGAAAATGTCTGGAGATTCTCTTGAAATCACAGATCTGTTGTCTTGGTCAAATAAGACTCGTTCATTCGACATCTATTGGACTTCAGTTATTATCTCAATAGATGATGAGCAAGCTCAAGTAATCTATTAAACTTTATTGGTTCTATTCACAATTCTTTCTTATAGTTCTCCTTGTTATCACCATCCGGATCTTGGACATCCTACCCAGTTAGTAAGTACAGACAACACTAAAGAGCCAACTTCAGACAGCTATAAAGATCAGTGCAGTGCTGGAACAGCACAGGCGTACTCTTGACAGATTATCAAAAGCTGCATTGTCGAAGTAAATTGTTTGGGACCATTTGAAAACGGAATTGCCCGATTCCAACTTCAGTCCGCTTGTTGGACTTCGTTAGAAATACCCCATGACTGGTATTTACATTAAAAAGCCTAACGTTTCTACCAAAAACTCAACAATTGCAGGAGGTAAATGGGCCTGTTGGGTTGCGTCAGTAAACAGAGTAACCAAACAAAATCAGACAACTTCGACAACACACCTAAATTCCTACATGGATTCGTAAAAATGTTGGCATTTGGGCGAACACAGAAAACCTTCATTACAAATCAGGTATTTTTTAAACCATAGTGCTGTTTTGCAGCAGGACGGCTCATTATTATTTTTCTTGCGATGAGTAGAATTTTCAAACAATGCACCAAGGTACAAAATTACTTACATGGAGAACCATGGCACAATGCGTTTGTTGTCCATTTTGACCCTCAGAGTGGCAGGAAGATTGCTGATTTCAGGAGGCGGTGACGATCATTGGTAATTTTGAAGATTCCGGCTTAAACAGAAAGGATTTCTTGTTGATCGCTAGGAACTAAACAGTACCCACGTGTACGTGTGTGATCATGTTGCTTCGAACTAACCTAACTTTACATTTAGAATATCTCGATATCAGAGAGAGGCTTTGAAAACAAAACAATGCTCGCTAAAGACAATTTGAACTAAGAGAATTAGGATCTTAAAAGATTCCCTATTTCGAGCTTTGAAAAAGTGACTCTTTCCACAATATCATCCCGGAATCCCAAATAAGTTGATAAAAAAACAAAAGCCGATGATGTTTATTGTTTCCATACAACCGGAACCGGAAGTTAGAGTGTCAGCGAAAGGAAGACCGTCATTGGTGGTTGGTATCATCGATAGACCAATGAAAAAGCCTGAGAAGGAAGAGAGTTTTGCCGCTAAAAAACGCATGAATTCAAATACGCGGGCAGGGCGTTGGCGCTGCCCTCTAACGCACCTGATTTTGTTTGAAAAAAGAGTAAAGTAAAAACTATTGAAAATATATTTACTGCTGACATAATTAAGGAGCTTCACGGGAACGAAGCCCATACCCTACCGAAAAATCGCGTTTCGAGAAAAAGCATTTGAAGTTTCCAATATTACTTTCTGGCCACTGGATGGTGATTTACATCGAGACTTGGGCACTTAGGTTAAAGTTAATACACTCCAGAATTAAGAACTATACCATATATAAAACTTAGACTTCTTGCTTTTATTACAGCTTTACCTAGAGCTTATAGCTTCCTGAGGTGTGAACAAGTTTCAAAAGAAGTATAAAGTTCATTGACTCTCCTGTACTACGAAAAAAGGCAATTAAAAAAAAAAAAAAAGATTCCTTGGGCTGTCAAAAGTATCCAAAGGGAAAACAGAAGTAGCATCTTTCAGATTGAAAATATATTGACCTAAATCTTATGACCGTCCTTTAACGTTATACCTCGGAATGATTTTAATGTGAATAGGGAAAATGAAATGAAATAAAAAATGATATTCAGGCCTCTTGATCACCGATTAGGATATATATTTCCGCACCATCGTAGAGATGTAATATACTGATACCTGCCTGTTGTTGCATTTGGTGGGTAACTGGTAACAATGATCTGTATTCGAACGCAAGTAAAGTTTGCAAATGAAAAGAGTCAAGAACAGTGAATAATCAGGGCAATGGATTCAGTGTGGCATGGAATGGAAGTAACCGACTACTGAACATGAAGATCTTTTGCATCATACCCTTAGGATTTGAGTTGCTTTTTAAAGTGAGCCAGCCTTGTCTCTTGCTGATTTACTTACTGCAGCAAGAATGGCATAACTCCTAACTTTTTTCCAACATGATTTTCGCCTATCAACAAGAAAACTGCGAATGCCTTGGGACTATGCTTCCACACTATAATTAAGTCTCTAAAGACATAAACTTCACCAGGCATTCCAAAAATTAGCAGAAAATGTTGAATTCCAGCTATAGTGCTACGAGACATGAAAAAAAAAATTAAAAGAACGTTATACTTAAAGGAAAAAAGTAAGAGGGTAGGAGTATACTCAAAATGTATTTCGAGGCATTCATGCTGTAGACAGCAAACTGAATATAAATTGCTTATTGAATGAGAGAGTCTGAGTACTGAGGAATACTTCTGATTTTGATTTCATTGGGAGACACATTCACAAAAATGCAATTTAAAACTTTTGATTTTTCAATTCTCCAGGCGGTATTTGGAGGCAATTATGGTAAAACGATTTTGAGCTATAATTTTCACTTTGGCCAAAAGTTGAATTGTTTGTTATTCCTCCTTACCTGCATGTCGAAGGCAGGTGTAACTTGTCTTATTATTAGGAGTATTTAGCATAAGCCCTTGTTTAAAAATCTGTATTTCTCTTTTCCTTTCTTTTCTTTTTTCTTCTTCTATCCTCACTAACCCTGGCATATTTCGACAGTGAAAGTCGGCAATCACATAACTCGGTTTGCGACGTCGTAGACTTCCTGTCATACTTTATTTTTTGAATGGAAAACTACTCAACGGCAATTCTTTAAAACTGTCATGATTTTTCTTCTCAATGCAAAGAAAATTCTGCAAAAACTTCAAGAAATAATATCAATTTGTTCTCCTTTAAAAAAATTACGTAGAGACGGAGATTTTCAGACACCGCAAACGAGTTATGTGATTGCCGACTTTCACCGTCAATATTTGTTCTAGCTGTTGAAAAATGTGCATTTACAAATAAAAATATATTATTATTATTATTATTATTATTATTCAATGCTTTTAGGTATTCTATTTTTAAACTCATTTCCTGAAAAATCTTCAAATCAATTTTAACAGATTATAGAAAAAATCACCCCTAGAAAAGAGTTTCTTTTTAAACTAACTCAGGTTTGAACGGTCAAAAGTATTTGATTTGAAAATTTGGTTTCAGAATTATTTTTCCTGCAGCTTCTGAAGCGTTATTTGAACGAGGGAAGTTCTCATTCCTAAATTCTAGAAAATTTCTATGATTTTTACTAAAATGCATATTTTGCAGTGATGAAAATAAATAAAAAAATTTTAACACTTAAATTCTTTATTGACGGAAAATTGTTGATAAAAACAGGAGAATTCATGAAAAACTAAGAGAGAGAGAGGTTCAGAAAAATTAACATAAAACTTTTGCTTCCATAAAATTAAGATGATAAAGGATGAAACCTATTCATTTTTGAAGAATACTCTTATTCTTCAAACCTAGACATTTAGGACTTAGACGGTCCCAAAACCCAAAATGAACTGACAGAACTTGAACATCATCCAAGATCTTTACGACAGTCCTGCTTTACAATCCAAAGATTAATTTGAGTAGTACACTAATTACAGGCATGTTTTCAAGGAAGAAGACCATTTGAAACATTTAGAGAGTTAAAAATGGATATTTCCAAATCAAACCAAGAAAAAGGACTTATACTGATCTCTCTGTCCAATCACTCACTGACCGGTGGCAGAAAAAGCTTTATACATACATACAAGTGCACCATCACTGTTTCTACGCTTGCTTTGGGTTGGATGTAGAGTTTTTCGTAGAGAAACTCGTGCTGAATCATAAAATACTTGAGAGAAACACACGAAAAAACCAACGAGACAAAAGCAGGATATAAGCTACCTAATGAAAGTTTGAAAGGTTACTGAAAGCTATTTGTTGCAAGCTCATCTTTTAGTGCGGCATTGTTTTAATCCACACTGACATCTTGGAACTGAAAATCATCAACACTCCTTGTGCTGAAGGTTTGTTAAATCAATCGCGCACGGACAAAACCGTCAAAGAGGTTTCTAAAGACGATCTCAAAAAAGTTGAGCGCATTTAGAGGCATCTTTAATTCTACCAAAAATTTGACTTGTTGCTGGTTTTCTACATTGTGCCTTATGAGGGGATTAAATTCCAAAGCTATATTCATCTGTTATCGTTTGTTTCTCTTTCAGTGAACTCTGCCCAAGAAGCAACATTTTTGACAAATACTTGTTTGCATTTGATATAAAAACAAATACCTGCTGAGTTTAGTAGAATTATATATTTTTAGCTTTTGATAATTTTACTGATGAGAAACATGTGGGAAGTCTATAAAAGATTCTGGTATACTTGTGCTTTACCATTGTTCTGTTCGCTTATCATGTGATGTGGACTTTTTTACGTTGACAGTGGAAAGGACAAAAAAAGTATCATAATTGCAAAATTTATTTTTTCTCTTCCTTCGCTTCATGGATGAAACTTAAAATTTTTGCAAGAAATTTTTGAAAATGTTGGAGGAAATTGAGTCGAACTTCACAATTTGAGAAAAGTCAGACATGAAAATCAATGCTGGCAGACTGTTTGCGACAGAGTAAGTTCTTTTCTCTCGCCCACCATCATCTTATTGCAGGTGCTGCAGAAGGGGGTTCTTAAACTATTTACTGGAACAATTACAAAAAGCATTGACTTCATATTCGTTCTTCATGAAACGTTCGTTTTACAAAAAAAAAAAAACAAAAAAAAAAAAACAAACAAAAAAAACGCTCTCAAGTATGTATCATAAAAGCTTCAGTCACAACATCATTCACTGTTCTATTACCAGAAAGTCTAACTGATTTACGGACAAAGATTTACATTAGGATAAGATTACTAGATTTGGACCATGAGAATAATTGACAACATTGACCAAAAAGAAAAAATAATAGAATAAGAAATAGAATGGATTAAGATAGAAAATTCACATTGGAAGCAAACTTTTAAGAAACGGTGACGAGAAGTAAATTCATTGTGAGCAAATAGGGATGACACCTTTCATTTGATTTTCAATTTTCAAAGTAGGACAAATACCACTTTTTGAATTTGCTGCAATTGAAAATAGAGAGGAAACAATCAGTAAATAAATCTAAGAGTGGGAATTGATCTTGTTTAAACCTTATTAAACAAAGGAAGCTGCAGACAAATGGATTACCTGAGATAACCTGCCTTAGTCCATTTTACAAATTTGGAAAATTATAAAGATAAATATGAAAGATTGACCTTTAGGAGTTGTCAATTGATAAGCAATAAAAAATTCCTTATTTCAGTAAATGTATTGTGGTTTTTGGATGAGAGCAAGTGGTATCTTGTTTCTGACTTGATAGTTATTACATATTTAAGATGGACCAAGTCAGACAGGAAGGATCAATCACATTGCAATATTGCTAAAATTGTATGACTAAATCACTGAAGAAGAAGAAAAAAAATTAAAAAACCTAGGGGCAGCAGCTTCTCTTTTCAATTGAATGGATGACTGACGGATAAAGACATCACAGAGGGCAATTTAACACTTCCTTCTTATTTTAAAATTAACTTAAAGCTTGCAGGTGAATGAACTTGAAAATAATGATTAACGAAAACGTTAATTCCGAAAATACAGAAAGAAAATTTACTATTGCAGATTGAAATTCACTTTGATAGTAAAGTTTCCGAGCTTTCCCTCTGACTTTACTCGGTTAAAAAAAATTATTTGACTTTTCTAAATTTTATCATCGGATTATTTAAGAATTTGTCATCCTGTTTCAGTCTTTCCTGCAAGATAAAAAGTCATGAAATCTTAGCAACTTTGTAATGTTTTGGATTCCTTTCTGCTTGTTTTGTTTTAAATATGGTTATAAATTGTTTAGAGGTATTTAACGGTTCGTTCACAAAGTTTGAAAAAAAGGTAATGACAAAATATAGTGATATTTTCCTCATTAAACTACAACTTGCGACGGAGGGGACCAAACATATATAAGTGGAAGGTCTCAGTTGAAGCTACAGAAAATGAAGGAGATCAATTAAATTATCCTTAACACATGAAAAACCAGCTTGAAACTCAAGTAGTGTATTTGCCTTTGGAAAATATATATACTAATACACTAAGTTCCATGGCTACACGGGGTGATGCCAAAGCCCCACACAACCAGCACCAGGCATTGCTCCGGTAGCCTCTGAAGACATCGCGATGGAGACTTAAGATTTAGTGAGTAGTTCTCAGTCAAAGGGAACAACTTTAATAAACCACTGAAATTTTAAAGGAACCACCCTAAAAAGGACAAGAGCCTTGGGGGTTAAAGGGATGGTGCAGGATTTTAGGATCACCCTGTGGAAAGTTTAAACAGATGTTGCAAGGGTTAAAACTGACTTCATGAGATCAATATTTTCGCCAAGTTTACTTTGAAATAAGATTTATTCACACTCACGAACATTGATATTTTTCCTAAAATGTCTCTTCCTTCCATTCGACTGAGATTTCAATTGTAAAATCAGTGAATTATAAGAAGGCTTCCTCACAAAGCACTGTTGCTTTATCAGTCCTATCTTTCTCAGCAAAATACAGCTAATTTTTGCAAGGTATAATCCAGCCCCAGTATTTTGAGTTAGAATTGCTTGCACCTTTGAAATTTAGGAAGTTGAGTTTTGTCATAAACTCATTTTAATTTTGCCAAATAATTCTGCCAAAATCGATGAAATGCCAACTATTTTTAGAGAATTTAAATAAAAGTACCTAATGTAATTTTAATTTTGCATTATATGTTGGAGATCAAAATTTTCCTACTCCATCCCTATTTTGAAAATTTTTAGGATAAGTTTTGAACTTGTTCTCAGGCTGGGGCAAAATTTGACTTGAAAAAATAAACCAAAAAAGCTATCTGCAACAATATTCGCATCTTGACTTAAAATGAGAAGCTAAAATGGCACCTGTGCTGGAGCAACTGTACTCAAAATTGAAAAATTATTGAGCAACTGATCTTTACCAAGATGCCATCATAAATCCTGCTGCAGGCTGAACATACGATAATCAATATCCAACCATAATTTTCCTGATCCTGAATTGGAAAAGCTAACCAATAGCTCGTGAATTGATGGAAAAAAATTGAATTGCAAGTAATAAAATTACTTAAAATGATAAAGACATTTATTTACTTCAGACGAAAATTGAAGGTTGTTACTTTTTGACTTCTGTAGAACATACCATGATGAGTACTTAAATTAAATGAAGAATTATACAACAGATCAGTGAGACAGTGACTGATGGGAGAGTATAATGTGACATAACGAGAAAAAGAAATGATAATCATGATAATTTTGAATGTGACTGGGTAGATGAAAAAACTTTATGAAAAGAAAAGGATCAGAGAGAAACAGTAAGGAGCCCCCAAAAAAGAGCTCTATGATAACAATTATGAATAGCGTAATCCAGTTACATACTTCACCAAATTAGATATGAATTCTCTACTTATGATTCTTGGAGTAGTTGCCAAGAAAACAAGAGCTTCCTTGCTTTGAAGTATGTACATCTAAATAAGCTTGACGAGAAAAGACTCTGCTACAAGTTGGACACTGATATTTACTGATGTGTACCTTATTGTTATGACGTAAAAGAGATGTTTGAAATTTGAATGCTTTTGCACATGCACGACAATAAAAGGCTTTGCGAGCTTTGCTATTGGAATAGTCGCTTGTGTCTACCTCATCCGACTGATTCACCGAGACAAACAGGGATGATGTGCTGCTTGTGTTTTTTCGCTTGGCTGATTTCTGTTTGTGCTTGTTTTTGTGCCGCACAGGCTCCATAAGTAAGTGGTGATCGGGCAAAACGAGGACAGAGTCCGAATCAGTAATTAATGGCTCATCATTGTCAATATCATCATCTTCTCCGTCAGAAGAGCGGCGATTATTCAATAGCAAAGGGTGAATATCGTAGCTCGATATTTGAGGATAAAACATGGAGACCGGAGAGGATTGTCCCTTCAGGTTGAAAGAATCCATTCCGAATGAGAGGGAAGATGTCGAGGCAGAAGGTTCGTCCGTGCTTTCTACATCCACATCGTAACACTCATCCATAGATGTTGAACACGTTACGCTGAGTCCAACACCTGAGCATGGAGACAAATCATCAGAGAAACGCACTTGAAAAAAAAACCAAAAAAAAAAAACAATGAACGAGAGGACTTGACAAAAAAAAAATCACAAAACAGTGTAGTCAGAGAGATTTACCTGAGCTGAAGAACATAGCGAGGGAAAGAACACATTTTAAGAAAGAATTTAGCACTACCTAAATTTAATTAGGTACTTTCATAAATTATTTTCATTACAGCCTTCACAACCAGGACTTTTAATGGTGAGTTATCAAAAAATTAGGGCTGAGAAGAAAATATATCAAGTCGAGAGGGTAAAAACGACTTTTCAGTAGGTAAGTAAATAGACTTGAAAAATGATGAAAGAAACTTTGTTCAAAGAGTTTATGTCCTATGGTTTCAGGCTCAGTTGTTTAACCCTCTGTCCCTCTTTTTCTGCATTTACATCTATTATATGTTATACAGGCTGAAAAATAAAGAAAAAGAAAATAAAACGGGGCTGTTGTAGATTAAAAATCTATTTTAAAATCCCTAAAATAAAATAAAAAGAAACCTAGGTTTACAACTTGCAGTTAGATCAGCAACTGTAAAGTTTTAAGCTTGTGTTTTCCTTATTCTTTCAGCAAATGAAAAAGAGATTTACATAAGGTCCCAAAAAACCAATTTTCCTCTCTTCCTATTTAAGCATTCATAAATCTAATATCGTTATTGGAAGTGCAAAATTCTTTGATTTTTGACCGTAAAGCTTCAAATAAGTTAAAAATATTTTCAAACAGACCAAAAATTGGACCCAAATCTCCAAACATTTGAATCAAGTATCAATTTTTTTTTGTTTTAAAGTTATGGATATCATACACTAAGAGAAATGACAAAAGGCATTGTCTTATTATGAGTGAAATATTAACCCCACATTCTACAGAAAATATTTGCTGCAGAAACCAACAACGACTAGTAACAAAGAGAACAGAGGTTTATTTACTTCCACATTTGCCACCAGTTGCAAGAAATTTGGGAAACTCCGTGAGAATGGGACAAAAGAAGGGAAGGCTATTGGTACTTTCTCACATTTTCATTTGGACAAAAGTTTTGAAGATAAAAAGTCCAATTCCTTGGAGAACGCAGTTTATTTTATTGCTTTAAGAGGAAAGAAATTTTGAACCGGGTTGAAAATGGGGAATAACTCGGGCCTGGGGCTTTCTGCATCCCAAGAAAATTATGACTATCACAGAACACATATAGGTAAGTATTAAGACTTCATATACTTTCATTCAGAACTTTATCATTCATCAGTATTATCACATGGCGTGAGAACATCTTACTATCTTCAGGATGTTAAGGCTCAGGAATTCGAATTGGAATCCATAATACAGTCATGATAGATTATTCATAAAAAACCCAAAAACTCAAGATTATAATCATCAAATGACCGCGATCTGGAAACTAAATTTCTCCGATGGTTCAGTGCTGCTACAGCAAAGTAAGACACAAAAAGCTCTGATTTACAGAGTATTCTCCAACAGATAACAGCCATGTGTTAGTATTAACTAAAAACTTGGGAAAAATCGAACTTATTGACAGTGAGACTCTCAAACAATGTATCTAGTTTTGCAGTGTTTTAAAAACTTTTCTCCTGATTTACTTTTTAACATGAGAACAAATCAACGTCATTCCTAGAAGTTTCTTTAGAATTTACTTTGCAGAGAGAAGAATCATGGATGTTCTTAAGAATTGACCTCGAGTAGTTCTACAGTTAAAGAATAAAGCATGTCAAGAAGTCTGCATTGTTGCAAACCAAGATACATGGTTTGGAAGTTTCTTCATCAATATGGAATTTCATTGGACTATTGTAACCAGCTGATTAAAAAATGTTTTTTCACATCACAATAACTTGCGAGAAGGGCTGACATTTCGGTCTATTTTGATATACTGTATACTGATTAACAAATGCGGTAGGCTACCACTTCTCTCTATTATCTCTGCACTTAGGGAAGCCATTGACCAGAATCAAGAAATACCTCCAGTGAGTACTACAACATCAATTTTTGAAAGTATAATTCATGGAAGCAGAGTCTTACCAAGATCCGTTTCATCATCCATTGTGTTGAAGATAGAGCTCAGGTCGTCATCAACACTAACGAACTCTGAAAGCAAATAAATACGGAGGCAGATGTCAGAGAGTGGACGGATTCAAGTGTAAAGTATTAATTTCAATTTTGAAACTTCGTGAAACGATTCAACAATTCAGTTAGAGTTAAAAAAAAAGTCAGATCTCGCATTCTGCAGATTGCGAACCGAGATGCAAACCTTGGCCTTGGGCCATGAGGTAATATTCAAAATTGGTTTTCATTTTTTCTCTGCGAATTTTTTACAGGATTTATTTAGGTAGGTATTGCTTTAAACTTTGTTAACAAAATATAAGGATTTCATGAAAGGCACAAATATTTTTGACCATGACAGGAGAAAAGTTAATTATAATCTCTTTTCACCGCAAACATGAAAAATTTTAACAGAAATTATCTGTTCACAAACCGATTGTGGTGAACGAAGGGTCGTAAGACAGGATGTTGGAGTTTTTTTAGCCAACATGCGTAAAAAGTTACACATTAGAGAGGGAAAAAGCTCACACAGAAGCACAATTTTCCCTCAAAGAGATGTGCTATTTGGAGCAACACTAGTTACGTCCATTCACTGCACTGAGGATTGGCCCAACAAGGCTGAAACGCGTCTACAGTTGCCTTCCTGAATGGGCGTAACTAGAGTTGTTCCAAACAGCATATCTCTTTATGGGAAAATTTTGCTTATGTGTAAGCTTTTTTTCTCTCTAATCTGATTTCAGCTTTAAGCTGAACTTTTTATGCACGTTGGTTAAAAAAACTCCAACATCCCGAATTATCTGTTCTTCGTTGTGACGGACATTTGACTGAAGTGTTATTTTCAAAATGATAATTTGGACACACTGCAACACTTCCATAATTCGACCCCTATACAGCTGTTGATTTACTTTCCATTTGAAAACTGACAAAAAAAATAAAAAGTGAAAGCTGTCGTCTTTAATATGATGAAACCAGCGTACAACACTGTTTATGCATGATTTCATGATAGCAGGAATAATTGTATTGCTGGTGGTTATGAGCTGCTCAGGGGCAAACAATTAAAAACCGAGGTGATAAAGTGTAGGAAACGATTTTCTTCATAAATGCCTGCAAGGAAAAATGAAATATTATCACGGTCAATATTCAGAGCCATAAGACTGAGAGGACTGAAATTTTCTCGACCAGTTGCATGTCGCCAACTACCTACCATTTTAGAGGGAAATAGTAGTTAATGAAACTATGTTAGTAATGATTGTAAATTGCCAGATCATATTTTGTAGGGATTTCCGAGTTTACTAGGTTACCATGTTGAAGTAAAAATTTGATTTTTAGGCAAAGGAAATCATTTGAAAAAGGTCACTAGGCAGAGTCATCACATACCATCTCTTTAAAATCTTGCAAAGAAAAAAATTTAGGTAAACTATGAGAAGTTCAGAATTCAACTCCCGGACAAAATATTAATACATGTTTTCGACGTAGATAAAATGAAACTTAGATCACATAAATGAAAAATGTTGTGTTAAGGTGGAGATTTCTAGACTTCTCAATGTGCGATAAATTTTCCTTGTGAAATTTTGAGGAGAAAACAATTAAGCATGTTGAGCAGTGCTTTGATTCACACTTTGCCTGCAGGCTGGTTGAATAAGTATGATTAAACAAAAAGAAAGTCTTCAAAGCTGAAGAAAATTTTCTTGTTGCTCAAGATTGGTTTAAATATTGAGGAATGCTTTTATTTATGTTTTTCAGCATTTGATATTACTCATTCAGAGGTGGGGGTTTGGCGAGAAACATCCTTCCGCAGCTTTAGTATGTTTGACAGGACCAACAAAGGAGTCAAGATATTACTTGATGTCTTATTATTCAACAGTTAGACTTTACTACTAAATAAAAATTCTTTGTGTCGAAGCTAAAAACTGGAAGTTCAGTAACTCCGGCAAAGAATAATCAACTTTGATGGAAATGTGTGCTCTTGCATACTGTCAAGATGTTTAACATCCCATCCGAGTCTATCTGCAAATATTTTTTTTAAAAAACACATTGATCTTTATTCAGATTAAACAAAATCATAGATGTAGGTCCCTTGCACACAGCAAGAATATTCTAATTGTTGACAAAATATCATTTAACGTTCACACAAAGACATGAGAAAAGCTGCATTGTAGCTTAGTACCGGAATTGAGGACAGTAAATTGCAGAATACCCAATGAGAAAGAAAGAGGGGGGGGGGGGGGGGGGCTGATAAAAACGGATCGTTGGAGTTTCTCAAAGTAAGCATCACGAGGTGCGTCAAGAGAGGGTTAGTGCATTGGATTTTGCTGTGGAAAAGGGTTCGAAGATGGGTAATTTCATTAGATAATAATACAAGTTACTTTTAATGGCAATAGTAAAAAACACAGAATATCATTACCTAACCTAGAGGTAATTTCAACATGTTGCCTTTCGACATCTCAGAGTAAAATGTAAAATTCTCATGGTAGGGGATGAAAAAAGACAGTAAAATTTTTGCCCTTCAGACTGACTGAGCAGGGTTGAAATAAGTAGGATTTATTTGATGAAATCTATTAGGGAGAAATGAAAATGTCTTGAGATTTCGTTTGACTAAAAATGTCGCCCTTACTACACAGACTCGGAGGCCCTTCCAACGAAAGTAATTGAAGTGGGAATGAAGATTGTGAGGCAAATCAGGTACAATCTTTGAGAGCATTATCAAAATCAGCAAATAAATAAAGTTTGAGAAATTGTAAAAGCAGTTGAGATGTATGCATTAAGTTAGGTTGAACAACATCGCAACATAGTTCCAACATCCGTCCACAGAGAGAGCGGCGGCCACAGCACCCATATTAAAGTGCATGAAACTGGGGATAACTTAATCAGTTGAGAAGCGAATTAAAACTTTGATATTACCATAATCAGACTTGTTCCTGGAAGACAGCGGCTGAATAGACATTTTCGCAGACAGGGAAATAACATTACAGGGATACTGAAGATGTGACTTTGCTGCTGCTGGGCATACCTAGACCGCTAAGTTCCGATTAAACAACGGATTGCAGGTTTTGTTTGACTTGAAAAGTATCTTCGGCGAAGTTCGACGAAACAGAAAACGCAAAGTTCGAGGTGGTAAAAGTGGAAAAGTAAAAAGATCGGCAAATTAGTTAGAAACTTCGACAGAGCTTGAAGTTGAGGTTATAATCACGTTACTTATTACTGAGCGAAGATAGCCGAAACTAGATCACTAGTGGTGAGTATAGGTACGAATGAGATTGCGTTCACTAGCGACTACGCGAATGCAAAAACTGACGCGATTAATATGTCCGAATCATTAATTAATTAATGGGATTCGGAAGAAAAGACAAAAGACGGCACATCAAAACTCGGTTGAAAATCTCCGATTGCTGCATAGAGAAAAAAAAGGAGGTGTTTGCATTTCGGGCATCTTGGAATTTTTCATAGAGTATCTATAGCTTTGATGACGTCATTGGGTACAGCGACGTTTTTATCCTGTCGATTTTCTTGGAAATGGTGTAATTTAAGGGAAAAAGTCATTCTATAAAAAGTGCTTGAAATTAAATAAAGAGTTGATTTAAGTAAAAAAATCGGACATTATGGTCCGTTTTTACAGCGTCAACATAACCCTCAACGAGCGTCTTGTTTACATTGATGACGTAGGTGGGTACAAATCCTCAAGATGCAAACACCTCCTTTTTTTTCTCTATGCGATTGCTGGATCATGGAATGGAAGATGGGAAAGAGTGTACGTAAGTCGGTCGGCGCAACCGGGATATTGCCGCCATTTTGATAGCGTGCACCCGAAGCAGCCGCTTGGCGCGCGATTTGAAAGTGAACCCAGCAGACTATCGTGATCGTGATTCAGTGGGATCAAAATAATATATTTTTGAATCAACATGGACGGTGAAACCTTGCAAGAAACTGCACTAAAAATTAGGAGCACACCAATAATCAAACTTTCCTTAACTATTTCCAAACAATTAATTTGGTTCTACGCCTTGTGACATCTATAGAGAGACTACAGAAGGATAGCCTGTAGTCAAAATGGTTTTGATTGGCCCAACAACCATTTTCGCGCCAATTATACAGATAACACTTGTGACGTCAATGTATGCAATAAAATTTCCACTCGCACGCTTCTATTATCGGACCTTTCTAGTTGCAAGATGATTAGTCACGAAAACTTTCAAAAATTGTAAACCAAATCAAACTTGCAAAATATTTCCACTTTGTTTGGTAATTTTAGGATTGGTACAAGTTATAGCCTTCAGGTTATCTTGGATAGCTTCATTTGATGACGTCAATAAGTGCACATTGCAGTACTCCGATTGGCTATTTCCCCTTGTTTTTGTCTTCCACCTCCCTTGTGTTTATCCGCCTTGCCACAAAAAGACGCCATTTACGCCATTTCGAAAAGTTCCTTCGACTGCACAGGGGTCGCGTTTAGCTTCAGTTTTGGTCATCGCCATTTCATTGTTTCAAGGCTAGTGTTTTCAAAATTTGTGAAATTGATAGTGAAAATGTACGGCGGTGGACAGAAGACTAATTTATTCTCTAGGTAAGATACGCTATCTTGTGATCAAATTCCCCAAGTACGTACTTATCGTCAGAATCCTCTGTTCTTCCTTTTTCTCAGCGTGCGAGTCTTTCGGCGAATCTTCCTCCTGAAACCTTTGTCCTCACTTCCTCAGTCACCACTAATCTATACCTCTCCTATTGAAGCCCGTTAAAATGGAATATGGCAGCGGGTAGGTAATTTATTTGCCCCTACATAGCCATCCAGCTTTTTACTCCCAATTTACATCCACAGCATCCCTCTGGCTGTATGGCTAACCTGTGAAAGTAAGGCATATTTTTATTGATCTAACAGTCTGCCTTTCATCTTCATCTATTTAGAGTACCTGTTAAGCAAGAGTATGAGCAGTTCGTTAATGGAAGGCTTAAAGCTCCAAGGGGCAGCCAGCCTCCTAACACACAAAATTTCACTGCGGATCATCAGATCCCAGTTCAAACCAAGATGGCCAAGAATGTTCATGAATGAGCTATCTTCCACAAAAACTAAGTCCAATATGTGCTTTACAAAGAGTCATAACAATTGTTACAATTAATCATTCTGGTTAATTTGATTCTGTAGGTTGACTGCCTTTTTGGGTCCTAACTTTACTCTTGGAGGCATCGGTGAAGTCCTGATGGAATTTCGGAGCTTCACACCTGTCTATACTCCTGCCATACAGATGCATTACATCCGATATGCATCCCGTGTGATAGAAGGGTCAGGTGGAAGAAAGGACCCTGCACACTCCATATAGGAACGTGTGCCCTACCTAATTTCCAATTTCGTTATTGCATTAAACTCGTTTAGGGATGCTGATCATCATTCTTTATTGTACCGACTTTCTACTAAAGGCTGTTTTCGCGCAATCTGCGCTTAAAGTTTCCATAGTTTCCAGGAAAGACTGGTAGTAATTGAGGGGAAACGCATCGTGTGTCTGTCTAGTAAAAGAGAGAGTGAGGAGGAAACTGATTTGGATGGAGTAAAGAAATGGCGTGCGGAATCCGATATATGTCTTCTGATCATTGTTTACAGAAACGCGCTGTAACTCTTCATTGCCGCTCTACCTTCATTTTATTCAAAGAATCATCAAAACTTCAACCATGGATTGTCCAAAAATCAGGGAGCACTGTCAAATCGGCTCTTATGTAGGTAAATATTTCAGTAGGAGGAAAAATATCATAGCTTATATTTGATTGTTTACAGGAGGGAAAATGAAGAAGTACCTGATAATGAGCCAAATGATGAAGATACCTACATCGTCAAGATGCGAGGCCTCCCTTGGTCTGCTACCACAGATGATATTCTAAAATTTTTGGGTAAGTATGTCAATTTGTTTTAGTTGTAGTATCGTTGCTGAAGAGGTGTCCAAAGCAATGTCAGATTGAATTATTTGATTGCTTCATTTATTTTCTACTCAAGTACACTCAGTTTCCACCTTGTTCTACTCAAGTACACTCAGAAAATTTGAAAAGTAGGGGGGGGGGGGGTGTTTCACACAGGGAAAATTTCAGCTGGAATTTTAAGCCCCATAACATGAAAAAAAAAGAGAGTAAAAAGACAGCGATGATAAATGCTCTCAAAATCATATCAACTTCAAACCCTCTACTTACTGAATTATAAGAAGCAGATCTCCTAGGTTTCAAGACCGTAAATATTTCATAATTAAGGCTTGAAATTTTCTCCATTTTTATTTACCACTCATCCTAAAATATATTCCAACTGTAATATTCATTTGTCCTCTGATTTAACAATGAAAAATGTGGGGAAATTTTGTATCTTTAAACTCAAAGGCAACCATTCTCCAGTTAGGTATGTTAATATTGACATTTTTTATCATCTAATCTGGAGCTTCCTCGCTGGTCTCTTGGACACCTTGAGTAGATCTCACCGTTATCTCACGTACTCTGTCTTCTTGGAACAGCTATTTCATAACTTACAAAGATTATTAATCACTGATATTTCATGTTTGATTGTTTTCACAGAGGGGTGTAACATTAAAAATGGTCGTGCTGGTGTTTATGTGACCATGTCCCCTGAAGGAAGACCAAGTGGAGAGGCATATGTTGAACTGGAGACTGAAGAAGACTTAGAAAACGCTTGCAAAAAGGACAAAGAACACATGGGGCCAAGATACATTGAAGGTATTGAAATTGACACTTTTCTCTCACCTGAATTTAGAGACATGAATTCACCTTCAGTTGAATTAACTTTAAAAATGTCAACGCAGGTCAGGCATGTAGGGAATTTTTGTCAAATTTTGATGTAAAATCTTGGTGTTTTAACAGACCTTAATTTTCTGAATCTGAGACTCAACCATTTAAGCATGATTTTAAATCGGACCCATTGTAACTGTCAGACACATTGCCATTTCTATAATTTATGAATTGTTCCAAATCTTCGAAAGTCCTTAAAAACATTTTTGTAAGGCCCTCCTTCGCCGTGATTTTATCAAGTTAAATTTGCAAATCTATCCCAAAGCATGTCCTGTGTATACTGTTTTTGTCTTTCTGATGTCAACTGATCTGATTTCTTTTTACTTTGTGGTACAACTCTGAGGCAAATACCTTCATAATGAATCTCGATATCAATGATGCATCCTTTATCAGCCGGCGACAGAGCTGCTGCAGTGCAGCGTTTTTGCATTATTGCCGTAAAATGTGCGATTTGCCCCTCTTCTTTTTAAGTATGAGCCAAACTGAAAGGAAAATCACCTACAAATCCTCATTTTTGAACGTACGGGAAACCTCGGATTATCCAAACTATTGTGGTGGTCGGCCGGTTCGGATCACGAAAATTTCGGATAGTCCGGAGCCCTGAGCTCTAGCTTGCAAATGCCACAAAAATAGAGCGACTTAGTATAGGAGTTTTTTTTCATACTTTTCTTACAGCTCCCAGGTTTTTGTTGGCTGACATATTTTTCCAGGTTAGCATGCTTATTTTTCCTATCTGTTACAGTGCTTCTACCAACGCCAAAGCAAATAACATGTAAAACAAATTGTTCTCCCTAAACTTGGTTTAGATGATCTGGAGTTCGAATAATCTGAGGTTTACTGTCCCGTCATGGCCAAAGATTTGCCTATCATATCCTAGGTTTGAAAGATGAGGCATTTTCTGCACCCCAGATGTAAAGCAGTTTGAAAGAAGCTCTCTGTTGACGGATGTGTTTTGTATTTAGTTTTCAGGTCTAAATACTCAGAGATGCAATGGGTCTGCGAAAGGAGCGGGTTCACTTTGGATTCAGCCATGATGGATGGCGTTGTGAGGCTCAGAGGATTGCCTTTCAATTGCACTGACAAACAAATTCGGCAATTTTTTGAGGGTGAGTTTTCTCCTCCACAACCATGGACTGAATCGTGATTTCATTTTCTTCTCATCTGATATCAGCCATTTCAACATCAGCAAAGTTCTCTTTCCTTCTTTCCTAAATAATGCAAATCTCTACTCGTAAGAATACAAAGTATTTATGTTGCTATTTCTCTGTCACATACACCTCTACTTCATTGAGTGAATTAGAGAAGTAGGAAAAATTTTAGGAAATCTGAACTACTTCTCATTCAGATGATGTGCCAGGGTGGCTCAAAAAGGTTCTGTATCACTGATAACTCTGTCTCCGTGAGGTGATGATGAAAAACTAGAGCAGAAGCGTAAGATTGAGCCCTACTAATCATTGAACGCACTATTTGATGAGAATCGTAAGTTCATTTAGATCCAATTACTACATGAACTTGCCTTGAAAAAAGTTGTTTAATATCTGAGTTTGTATCATGAAATACACCGAAAACAAGCAAGAATTTATCATTGATATTCACAACTTTCCAGCAGCAAAATGTTCCAATATATTTCTTATACGGTTCCTTTAATCAACAGTTTGCTATTTGCTCACAAATGGTAATTGAATTTTTTGAGTCACCCCCATGTACCTTTCTTCTATGCAGAAGATCCAAAGGGTACATTCCAGGTATAATAGTGGTGTTTTTCAGGAGATGTGAAAATGTTTATATCTTCGCAGATAAACACTACCTTTATAGGTCATTGCTACCAATGCTTCCTCCCTTATTTCCACCTTTCTTTGTGGATACATGTTGTGGCCATTTGTAGTAGCAACCGAAACAATTCGGTGCTCCGCTGCTTAGCTATCTGGTGCTGCTTGCAGGCGTCTCTGACAGATGTTGATGTCGAGTAATCTTTCAATATTTCTGAAGATCGCCATCAGTGAGAGATGAGTCTTGATGTCTTTGATCTTAAAGGGTCTATCATTGGGCTCTCTTCAATTAGCACCAATACTCCTTGCATCTTTCAATAGTATAGGGTCCCTTCTAGGGAATGCAGTTAAATCAGTCAGGATGGCACTTACTGTACCAATGCACTCAAGGTGTGTGACCCTATTTCTCTGTGCTTTATTATCATTTTGGCTTATTTTTTATTAATCAGCCAATGCAGATCTTCCATCATAATTCTGCAGTAGCCAAAAATGCTGTAGCTTAGCTGATTTTTAGTTTTCCTGGACTAACATTAGGTCAAGCAAGTTGAGATGAATGTTGGTCAAAGATGAAGCAGCCTAATTTAGTAGCCATGTCAGTTGATAGGCGAGTATTCTAAAATCAAAATTTAATAAATTCACGTGAAACCATCATTCTTAAAGATATGGTCAATATTCAAGGTTTAAGATATCTTATAAAGTTTCTGAATGTCTTTGATTCTCTCTTTTTTCATTTAATGGGCTCTGATTTTGCGTTTTTTGTTCTTGTTTTCATCTCTCATTCATTGCTTACTTTTTTTTCTCCAGTTTGATTTAGTGGATCGCTTTAACTCAAGTAACTACATTACATGTAGCCTAATTTTCTCTCATGGTTATTAATCTTAACATCATGGTTCATAGTTTTTAGTTTGAAGCTAATAAAACTTGAGAGAAACTTTTCCAGTGTGAAATGCATTCACTGTGAACCAGATTGAAGATTTCCCATTTATTTTCATGCTTCAATTGAAAATTTTCGCTCCCTTGCCCAGCTTTCTATCCTTCTTTACTGATATGAATTTAATGTTTCTTAAATTTGCAGCTAATTTCATCTTTAATTCTCTATTCTGTGTTTAAAGTGATTTTATAATGGTTTCTAACTTATTTGTTGAGCTTACTCCCTTAAGTGCTGTTTAACGTGTGATAGTTAATTAGTATTATTTTTAATATCCATTACCCAGGGTTTATGCAGCTTTGATGTATCCAGGCTACAGCCTGTAGTCCTCGAGTAGTGAAAATAATATAAATTCTTTGACAGGATTTTAGCGGTTCGGGATTTTCGAAAAGTCCAAGAATTTACAGCGGCAGGTACCCTTTCTGGTCAATTTTCTGAGGCTCGGTACATCTTGAAAAATTTCTAAGTGCCTTAGCCTCAGTTCCAAATTTTAAAGTCGGAAATTTTCTTGCAAGTTCAGCAAAATTTAGGATAGAGAAAAAACACAGCAGGTGAAAGTTTTGTTAGACCGTTAGAAAATAGTTAAGGATTGCTAAGGAGTAGGAGAAACACACAAAAAATCAGAGACTTTGAATATGGAGAAATTATGGAAACCTCATTTGAACTGAGGGGTTCTTACGGTTATCCATAGAATGGATGCTGGATAATTTTTTAAAGAATGTTCTTGAAAAATTCGTTTAATATAATTTGAATTCTTTTAATTACATTGAAACAGTTTACAGTCAAACAAAATTACAGTTCTAAAACCCTGGAAAAGTCCTTGAATTTTGTTTTTTATTCGCTGCGTAAATCCTGTGACAAAACAAAGAATTTTCAAAGACAAAGCTGCTTCCTTTTCCTTTTTTAACCTCTACAATACCAGACTTGTGTATACATATCCATCAGCCTACGCATCCCTTAACCATGGATGTGTGAACAAACTCAGCTGCTGAGCATGCTTTCGAGTCTCTCCATGCTGATGACATGACAGAATAAGAATTTTGAAGTTTAATATCTGTAACTCTGAGGGCGAACATTTTATGGGGTTGAAAGGTGGCTCATAAAGATTGAAAGATGCCATTCTTTTTCCCAACCCAGTTTATGGTATGTACACAGCAAGAACTCAAGCTGGTATTGATGGGGTTAAGTTGCTGGTAATTTTACGCACTTGCAGCTTAATATTATCCGACTCTGTCGCATTGCCCAAAGGCTTATTGTTTTGTACAGCTTTCTGAGTGTTATGATGATCTGGGTTTGATGTGTCCTCACTGAGAGTTTCATTGAAGTAAGGCCATGTGTTAGTTTAGTACAACACAAGCATAAGAATTATACCAGATGGAATATGATGGAGCAAAATATATTTTTTATATTTTGTCTTCACATATTTTTCATTAATTACAAAATGCGTTTTATTTTTGTGACAAGTGTGGCCAATAATGATCCCAGTTAAATCTAGATTGGATCATGATAGCTTTTTAGAAAGCAATGTAAACATAAATAAATGCTTAGGATCAAGGTGATGACATATTAATTCTTGGAGTCGAATTTTCTGAATGAAATTTATTTCCTATCTTTGTTCAAACATGCACTGATCTTTCATGAAATATTTTGTTTAATTTGCTCAATGTCTTCCCAGTCCAAGTTTGGCCAAACAGTGAAAGAACAACCATTGGCGGTTATTCATTTTTAACATTTTATCCTCTTTAAAATGGTATAATTTGTCTCCAATGTACTGTCATTAGTTCGATAACCAAACAAAGAACATGCTAATTTCTAACTTTCAACTCAGGGTTTAAAATTTTCCTTGTGTTCATGTATCATGCAATAAATTTTGCTGAAGAGTAAGGTGTCAGATTTCTTGCCCCCTTTGGTAATTCAGCGGTTAAAGAACTTTCTTTGAGGCCATAAGATCCTTAAGGGGGAATTTTAGCCGTTCTAATTTTTACATGTATGTAAGGTAATCTCATCCAATTCAAGATTTCATATACCTGTTTGGCCAAGTTTGAACCTAAGAATGAATTAAACCTCCTCTCACAACACATGTATTGCGTTGGGTTGGATTACTATTTGAGCGGGTTAGCAAACAAGGCCTGAGTAAATCTTTTTTTCCTGTTTCCTTCTCAAAATTGAAGATGAAAAATCGGGAGCATAATGGAAGGCTACCATTGGGCTAATCACCAATGATAACGAATTGCACTCTTTAAACAGGGAGTTAGAGTGAGTTTATCGATTTTTAGACTTTTTATGTTAGATCAAAATATGTTAACAGTAGAAATCAAATCCTCTAGAGGAATGAGCTTTTGAGCTTTAAGTATGTTATGCGCTAGTTGTCAAATGTTACATTTTTCAGGAGGAACATGCGAAAAATGTTACAATTCTGGCCTTGTCTACTAACTCGCCACCTTGTCTCTTGTTTTTTTTATTATTTAATTTTAATTGATGTAAATTTTGACAAAAAGTTATGTGATTGGTTGGGTAGGGCTCGAGATAGTTCAAAATGGGATTACGTTTGCAACGGACTACTCAGGGCGGAGTACTGGGGAAGCATATGTTCAATTTGTTGACAAAGAAAATGCAGAGAAAGCTCTGCAGAAGCACAAGGAGAGAATGGGACACAGGTGGGGTTGGAGGGGTGGGAGGGTTGCCCTCAGCCTCTCTCGCTTTATTCATATTTTTCTATAATTTATTCTCTAGCCTTGTATGGGCAGGTGGGCCTTCTCTAAGTAACTTCTTATTTTTTAAGCTCAGCCAAGTCTCATTCCGATCTAAATGATTCTTCATTTATCGTATTTAGCAGCAGTCCCTAAGTGCTTTACGTCACAGGACAAAAATCTTGTGCTAGCATCTCATGATCTTTGCCATTACATAGTTTGCGCAAGCAGATTAGACCCCTAAAGGAAGAAAAAAAGGAATTTTTGGGTACTCTGACATTTTAAAATCTCTTCATCCACTAAAATAACCCTAAACTTTTTATATTATTGGTTGCTGAATGTTGAGGTTTTAGCACAAGATTTTAAAGTTCTGAAAATAAGCTGCGTTTTACTGCTCTCCTGAGCTTAATGGAAGGTGTTATCAATGTCAGGTGTAACGAGAGGTCATAAGTTCTTTTAAGAAGGAGCCTGCATTTCTCTACATAACTCAGTCAATTCATGTAGCATATGATTAATTATCATTCACACCCAAGTGTCAGTCGAATATTCTTACATACGATGCACAAAGAATGCTCTTCAATGTTGTAATCAATTTTTAATGTTTGCCTTGCCTTCGATTGGGCTGCGTTAAAGAAGTTATCAAAGGCTAAATTCAAAAAATGCCTATTGAATTAATGGTGTTGCAAGTTGCTGTTCATGTTTTATTTTTTAGAAAAAAACTAACCAACAGTTTTTCTTGAAATTGTCTTTGAATTTTTGTTACACTTTCTGAAATATCAAAAGAAAATTTCAAGGAGATATTTTTGGTTATTTTTTTGATAAAAAAATGAAGCATAACTGTGCATTTCGAACTACTGCGATGAAGTTACACACTTTCAGGCTTTAGCTATCATAATGTTGAATTAAACTGGTCTTGGGCTTTCGTTCGCAAAGATGTCTAAAATTAAATCAATTTGAGCTTTATTAATTTAAAAGCATAAAAGTCAATTCTTGGTTCATGGACCCTTCTAATTTAAAAATTATTAATGTCTTTGGTTAGACCGAGCCATAAAATGAGATGTTACTTAAAATTCTTTATCTGTCCACTAATTTTATGTTTTCTTGTCAAGCAAATGATCGCTAAAAATTATTTGATCATTTATCATGATCGCAGTTAATACAACACAGTTGTTTCTTGACCATTTTGATGAAACAGAGTAAAGAAGAGGTCTCTCATTATTCAAGTGCAGTGTCATGTCGCAAAAAAAAAAAAAAAGATTTCCTTTATGCCAAGCAAGTGCATATTGCTCAAAGATTTATTCCCAATGTGCGTCACCTCATCTGAAATTTGTTCAGTCTCCCAAATTCAGTTTTGCTCTCATCAGATTTTTGACACTACCTAGTATGTTTCAGTTGTCTTCGTTAAATATTGTGTCTGAGGGAAGATCATTTTACAAAATCTGTCATGCTACCAATTAAGTCAACTTCAGGTGGTTTCTAATACACATATCAATGTAAAATTTACTCAATCCCCAACACAAAAGCCAAGAAGCCATTAGTTTAGCTTTTAAGTCTTTGTTCTTCGGTCATGCTAATCTAGACTGTCTGCTTTCACATCAAATAGGTATATCGAGATCTTCCGAAGTACATTAACAGAAGTGAGATCACTTGGGAATCAGAACAAAATGCGCTCCGGTTTCGGTGGTTATAACAACAGACCATCTCCTTATGATATTAACGACAGGTTTGGTGGACCCAACAGATTCGGACGTGGAGGTGGAAGGAACTTCAAAGGTAATTATTGCAAGTAGTATTATATCTCAGAGTTAGGTCAGGGTTGTGTTTGTTTCACTCTTTTTTTTTCCTCGTGGGATTCGAAGTCTCATGCTTCATTCTATGACCACAGCCTTTATGGACTCTTTGTTTTCTTATGCCCCTCATATTTGTGAAAGTGACGCTTTCTTCAACCAATTTCTATACATTTGTTACCCCCGTCCAGCTTCTTGAATTAATTTGACTAAAATTTGGATAACTTTTTATTAACCTTTGGATACCTATGTCTGAATTTCTCCAAAACTTGTCAAATGCTGCAGGAATTCGAGATACTTATTTTATACGAATCATCCATCTGAATTCTGAAAACCTAAACAGCTCTCAAAAGCTCTTATCTCCTTCTTTCTCAACAGTCAAAATCGGTATTGGAATTAGATTAGGTGAAGTGTTTGTATCCCGTAGATTCAAAGTATTGTGTGTGTGAGACGTGGAAAAACTACTGCACAAAATTGTGAAAAGTTGGTCATACTGGTAGTATAAGTGTTGATGTGGGACGTCTATGATAAGGAAGTGATTTAACTGACAAAATTGTTGTCTCAGTTCCAGAATTCCTCGAAAATTACATTTGCTAGTTTTTAGAAATGGGTTCTTAGAAAAATCACACTGAATTTCAGGGTTTACGTCTGAAACAAGTGTCATTCTGCTTGATTACGTATCTTACCTTCTGTGATGTTCTATTTCCTTTGTGCAGGTGGCTATGGAGGTTTCGATGATGGTCCATGGGAGAGGCCAGGCTGGAACGGTCCCGGAGCTGGTCGTGGAATGGGTGGTCCAATGGGAATGAAAGGTGGTTTCGGAATGGGCGGGGGAGGTGGTGGCTGGAACAGGGGCCCAGCTGGTTTCAGCGTTCACATGAGAGGACTTCCTTTCCGAGCAACTGAACAAGATATTGCTGATGTGAGTTGTTCAGTTTTACATAAATTATGTTTTACTAGTAAAAAAAAAAAAAAAAAAAAAAAAAAAAAAAAAAAAAAAAAAAGATGAAAAACCTTTTCAATAAAGTTGTGTGTCAGCCTACTAAAGGAAACAGAATAACAACAGCTCGACATCTCGGGGCAAACTTAGAAACGTCATTTAATCTACCCAAGTGCATAAATGCTAGAAATTATATCATCAAATCTTAACCTTTAGTGTATTGCTAGAGCTTCTGAAAAGCTCTAATCACAGCTGTTGCTTTTAACTGGCAGAGCTTGATCTTCTCTCTTTTGTTCTGTGAAAAATAAAATTTTGTTCGACATCCTAGAATAATTTCGATGTTCATTATCAGCATTAAAGTGCAGCATACATATGGTAGGGCTGGCTGTCTTCACTAGTGTGTTAACGCGCTACCCGTTGAAGACATTAATATTACATAAATTTAAAGGAATTCGGTAGGAATTTCAAAATTTTTTAAGTTGTGATATTGACCTGGCCTTTAATTTGATTACGATTACAATTATGTAGTTTTCTTTAATTGCACAGTTCTAATTTTTTCTAAATATGTTCTAAAAGTGCCAAATTTGATAATTCTGATATTCTGGGGTCATGACAGACTTCGTTATTGTATTTTCTTTCGTTTTCTCTTTGAGTCCGTGATATCCAAAAAATAGCAACGAATTACATTGACAAATAAGCTTTAATATGAAATTGTTAATTTCAGTTCTTCCGCCCTGTTGTTCCTGTTGACATTCAGCTATTAAGAGATAAGAGTGGACGCGCATCAGGTGAAGCCGATGTGGAATTTGGAAGCTTGGATGAAGCAATGGCAGCCATGAAGAAGGTATGTTTTGAAACTCATTCATCCATTGTTAAAGTTGCATATTAATAAATCTGTATCATTTAAATAGTGACCAGCTGCCCAAGAGAAAAGAGACCTTATCGGTAAAAAATTTGAAATTTCTAATGAGTCAATTAAGTTACTTCTAAACGCATCATTCCAAATTAACAGGCGAACTCAGCCTTCATTTCTCTAATTTCTTTTGATAACGACAATTGGGAGATAAGCCATTTCATCAGAGTACTGGTATACTATGAAAATTGTTTTTTGTGTTGGAAGATAGTGTTCTTCCATGCCTTTTTGATCTTGCCTTTTTTTCATTTCTTCATCGTGGGATTCATTATTTTCTTACTTTTAACTGCTACTGCATGGTCTCAAGATTGCTGAGTTTTCCTGGAGTTTGGAGTGCAATGAGTAACGGATTAAAAGGTTTCATAAGTAGTCAGCGCTCCATCTTAAGTGAAAAGCACAAATACAGAGGCTCAAAATTTTGCAATCCACAGAAGCAACAAATATGAGAACAATCTTGGGTTGTTAGGATCTTTTGAAAAGCAATTACTTTTTTTCATTTTAAACCCCTCCAATGTTGTCTCAGGAATTGTGCCTCTCTTGATGTACTTAGTTCATATCCTTGTTGACAGGTAGCATTTGCCCTATGCTTATTTTCATGGAGGTGTATGCAAACCAGAGGATGAGAGTCATGTGCGTAAAATTTGTATGCACGGTTCACAGCACAATAATTATGAGCATGGTAATGAGGGTCAAATAAAGAAGAAGAAAAAGGGGAAAAAACAAATAATGAGGCAAAGTAGATCATTTCCATAAGACATTTTAGAAATTTTTTTTTGAGAGGCCAAAACTGAGGAAAACTAAGAGGGCTTTGTATTTCAGATCTTCGGTACTTCTTGCTTGGTCCTTCTTTAGGAAAATTTTAATTTTCAGGTAAAAGTCACGGTCCTTCTTTAGGAAAATTTTAATTTTCAGGTAAAAGTCACCCATTGCTAAGAGTTATTAGTTTGTGAGAGAGGATTGTAGTTTACTTCAGAATCTGTTTGTTGACTCCGTTAAGTGTCAAATCCTCAAAACAGCTTCTGTTGAATTGCTCCTGATTTTTTTTCTCAAGTACAGGACAATGTCATGGGAAGTTGAAATTTCTTAGGCTACTCTGAAAAGTGTCAAGTATTTTTTGCACTAGGTAATTTTGTCCGTTCAATTTTTCAGGACAAAAGCCACATGCAGCACCGCTACATCGAATTGTTTGCTGATTTTCCTATGGGAGGCGGTAATGGTGGATTTGGCAACAACATGGGAGGAGGTAAGATTTTCGGAAAGGGAAGTGATCCACCATCCTAAAGTCGACAATAAGTGATAAAAAATGAGAGAAAGTCTAGGTTTTGAGAAGCAATGGACCACTAGACAAGGTACGAATTTCAGCATTCTGATACATGTTTTTTGACCAAAATTTCACGTAAAACACGATGCGCACAACAAAAATTACCGAAATCAACTCCTTACGAAGATATTTAATGATTCCTGATGAGTGAATTCAAACCACCCGCTCACTAAAACTCGATGCTCTACGTGATTCACATCGCGCGTTGAATATTATCGTGACAGTCTCTGCGATATGAAAATCTGGCAACCGCACAATTTTGACGCTTTGGCTCAGCTATAGCAAATTGCTTATAATTTGAACAACTTATGGTGGGAAATGAACAGTGCTCGATTGAGAGGCTTGCTGAAACTGTTGTAGTGCGCGATTTGACTCACGTAGAGCTTTGAGTTTCTTGTGAGCGAGCAGTTCAAAATTCGCGTAACCAATGTGAAATAAAAAGGTTAATATCTTCGTTAGGAGTTGGTTTCCGTAATTTTCGTTGTGTGAATCGTTTTCTACGTGAAATTCTGGTTAAGAAACATGTATCAGATCGCTTAAATTCGTACCTTGTCTAGTGGTCCATTGTAAGAAGTTCTTGATTGCCCCATTAAGTTCAGAAAGTTTTTTATCCTTCAGGACAGAGTGAGATACCTGTGCTTATTTGGATGAACTGCCAAATACCATCAAAATGTTCAAAAGAATGAATCCTGAAGTTGTACAAGAACCAGTTTCCATGTATGCTGTAAGACAGATATGTATTGGCCTGTAGCAGATATTAGTTTAATTTTTTAGCTCATTGTCAGCTCAAGCAGTAATAAGCTTATTACTTATAAAGTTCCGTCCCTTAATCTTCTGTTCGAGTCCATTCAAGATTTTGTAAAATGATGAAAACTTGAAGGAGTCAAGTTTTGTTAAGTACCTGCATTTTAAATGAGAGAGTATAGAACTTTTCTGGCCGGAAGGTTGAAAAAAAAAATCAAGAAAAAATAAGTTGGTACCAACATTTTACTTTCTCTTGAAAACTTTTTCCAAAGGTATCCTGATCCATCCTCTTATTTTCCATGTAATAGATGAATGTTTCCAGAAAATTTTGTTCTGAAAACGAAGTTATTTTTTCCAATCGTCTCTTCAAGATATCTCCAAAACTTCTCTCAATCATTGCACCGATTGATTCAGTTTAAAAACAAAATTGTTATCATTAGTATGCATAATAACTTGTATCTATTATATAATATTCTATAAATAGCTTCATGAAGGCCATCTTCAGTGCTGCTTCTTCAAACTCGACCAGAAAGAGACGGGTTGCAAAAATAATGCCTGAAAGCTTGTAAGGTAAATTCATACATATTACCACAGCGGTCAAAATTTATTAATTATATATAATATGGATTATATTCTGCAAAAAGGAACCAAGAGCGTTCCAATGTTGCTAGGATTGTGCAACTTACATTCGTTGCAGTAAAATTACTGAAATCACGCAACAAATTAAATTTACGAAGGTAATTTTCGTCTTCAATTATAGTTCTTTGGGAGTAAAGATAAAATTTGTTTCGATGACCAGCCTATATTTGCGAGGGGAAAAAAGTGACACAATCTTAGCAACATTGGAATGCTCTCGGTTCCTTTTTGCAAAATGCAATCCATATAATAGTTTAAAAATGGTAGTTGGTTTTATGGTGGAGGAAACTCAGATTTCCCTTTCATAATTTTGTAGGTCCCATTCATCAATTCTGCAAGTGTATTACATTTTGTTAATCTTTGAGGAAAATAGATCTCCTTCAAAGAAATTGCTTGAGTATGAGACATTCTCATTTTCTGTGTTCAAATTTTAAATGACAATTTTTTGTTCCAGGTGGCAGAGGTGGAATAAAGAACTTCGCAAACGACTACTAAATCTTGGATGCCACTACTTAAAATTAAATTATTGTCCTTCAAAACTAATTCCTTTTCTTTTTCCAGCTTTCAATCATTTTGACTTTTCCAAGTTAATTTATAACGTTTTTTTAAATTTTGATTTGTTGCATCATACTAGCATTTCATTTATGAAAGCATCGTCAGTATTTTCCCAACTTTTTGTGTAGGGTTTTATTTTTTTTTACTCATCCCTGCCTCCTTTCCCCTCCCCTGTATAAATTATTCCCTCCCTAATCATGAGCTATAACTAGCAATGAACTAAGTTCGTAAACAGAAATTTAGTTTCCTACTCCCCTCTTTCTTTTTGTACATACATTTAATTTACTATCAGATCACGCCTCCACGACTTATGTCTCTCGCCCTTTGGCAGTACAAATCGCAAGAATTTAATCTCCTTTTTTTATGTTTAAATGATGATAATTTTTAGTTTGAACACACTCAAGGCAGATTGTAATTTATTATGTTTGTATCAAGGATTCGTGAAATAAAATGTGTTTTTCTGTAAAAAGTCATTTTTTTCTTCCATGTCTCTCTGAAGTTTCATTTCTGGGTCCATTTAAGACCTCATAGAAGTTAACATAAAAAATCATTAATATGTAGGTAGAAAACTTGCTTGCCAATCAAAAGCTCCAGGAATTTTTGGTAATAAACACTCAGTAAAACCTTAAGTCCCGAAGAATGAATATCATGCAAAGTTCTGCTAAATTGTCCAAATTTTTGAGAAGGTCTATGTTTATTCTCTCCAAAAAGATTCTTAAAAGTTATCTACAGTTAGTTTTAAGCAATTTTCTTATTTTCTCCCCCCCCCCCCCCAATGTAAGTCCTTTGTTTGTGTTTGTAGAATTGCCAGCATACCCCCAAATTACAAGTTCCTTCCAATTAAATATGGCTCTAAGCATTTCTCTGCTTTTATGGAAATATTTTTTAACAAAAGAGGTGGCATTTTTCTCTGAAATTGAAATGTAGGAGCTGGATCAAAATTTGTCCTCTATCAGACTTTGCAGATCAAGGATTCACAAATTCAATTCATTTTCAACTTTGAAACTCCGCTATAACTTTTTCTGTTGATTTTAGACAAAATATAATTTTAAACTTATTTAAATCACAAAAATAACTGTAACGCTTTCTGGAGCCTTGAATCATACAGAGCAGGTCCAGACTTATGAGAAAAGATCGGAACTTTCCCAGGAGGGCTGGTCAGCTTTTAAGTTGGCTCATTGCCTTTGCACTGGAAGAAATTTAGGGAGTAAATTTCTTTCAAGTAAAATGATTGATGCTGATGGAGGATTAGAAAATTTCCAAGGGTGGTTGTACCCCACTGTTCGTCAGGGAAGGAGGGCAGCTTGAGAATCTCATCAAATTGAAGTCCCCATCGTTTTATACCTTTTTCGGCAAAACTCAGGTTGCTTTTATGACCATTTCAAAATGGTGATAAAAGCATGACTGCAATTTGATTTTCCCGTAAAATCCATTTTTGACAGTGTTTTTACCGAAAACCGAACCGATAAGCCCGATTTTATGCATTTTATTGACCAAACTAGAGGCAAAAATTTTGAGCATTATCTTTTCGAGTTGTAAGACCAGAGTTTTTAATATTGCATTCGGAAAAAAGGATGAACTATGCATAAAGTGATAGAAACTTACCTACATACATGAGTGTTCCACATTAAAACCCTTTTTTGACCCCTACTTTGATATCATTTTTTGACATCATTCCTTGAAGTTTTTGCAGAATTTTCTTCGCACAGAGAAGACAAATCACGGCAGTTTTAAAGAATTGCAGTTGAGTAGTTTTCCGTTTAAAAAATATAGTAAGTGCGACGCGAGAAAGTCTGCGACGTCGCAAACGGAGTTCTGTGCTTGCCAACTTTCACCGTCGATATCGTAATCATTATCCAATTGAATTCATTCGGAAATTCATTCATTTTGAATTTGGTGCGATGATAGTTGAGCGTATGAGGGATGCTTAGAGCGGTTTTATGTTAAAAGGAAACGTCCTTTAAAGTTATTTTTCAATGTTTTACTATGTCTCTCACACATAGTCTATCCGAAGTAGGTGCATTTAATCTCGAGTTAAACAGAATACTTTCAGTCCAAATCGTCAATAAATAGGGTGGATTATGCGACGTTGTGACTTAAAAAGTAGATTCCTTCCAAAAATATCGGCATGTATATACTCTGCGACCTAAAAATGGAACTTATGTTGGAACGTTTAAACAAACAAATCTGAATAATGCCGCTTAAATCGAACGTAGTGTGACGTTCCGCGCGTAACGCATATTAGCGCCTACAAGACTGCAGGAATACTTCACGCATTGCGCCAAACAGTGCCGTCGCCGCGCCCGCCGCGCCGGTCGGCGCGTAACGCATAGCGCCTACAAGACCGGAGGAATAGACACATTGCGCTAGATACAGAGTGATGTCGGCGCGAAACTCATATTAGTCCAGGCGCCTGGTAAGTCCACCTGGAATTTTGAGGACAAAGCGATTTGTTTGGCTTACTTTGTGTTTAGTGGGTTGCTGAATCCGAATCTGAAGTTTCCTACCGCGTATCTGGTGAGCATTTGCCGTCATTTTGAAAAAATGGCCTAAAAAGGCCTTTTTTGGGTTTTTTTTTTTTTTTATATAGCGGCTACACATGAGAAAAAGTCCCGGATTTAGATAATGTTTTTAATAGCCGACATAATTTGGAAGAAAATGGTATATGAATATGTCAGGTTTGCTCAAAAATTGAGGAACCTCGGATCTCGGGACTTTGGAACGCCTTGGAACTTGGCCGACGGCGCGGCGGCGAGCCGCATCGCGCGTTGACGGGTGCGCCGCGAAAAATGGAATGGGCGCGATGTTCACAATGCTGAATCTTCCTCAATTTTTAAGCAAACCTAGCATATGTGCACACCATTTTCTTCCTTATTATGTCAGCTATTCAAAATTGTAACTAAATCCGGGACTTTTTCTCACTCGTATAGCCACTATATTTAAGAAAAAACCACAAAAATGGCAATTTTAGGCCATTTGTTCGAAATGGTGGAAAATGCTCACCAGATGCGCGGTTGGAAACTTCAGATTCGGATTCAGCGACCCAAAAAACATACGGGAAGTCAAAAAAATCGCTTTGTACCCGAAATTCCAGGTAGCCTCATTTTTAGCTACCAGGCGCCTGGACTAACTGCAGTTGCGACGGTTAAGGCGGTAGTTTAAGGGCGATGAAGGCAGGGTTGTATTTTGCAAATGGATAAGTTTTGCAGAATAATTAAAAATTAAGAAGCAGAGTAATTTGATTAAATAATAAAAGGAACTCAAATCAACAATATAAGCATAACAATTTGGAAGAACTCATCATATGAATACAGAAGATTATAAAACGCCTTCAATTGAGGCGTGATACCTCACGCGTTCCGGAGAGTTAAAATAGTTGTATCCCTGCGCCTTAGGAAGGCGATGGAAGCTTAATTTTGAAGTAGCGTCCCCGCTTGGGTTTTCGGTTTTCCTGGGCCGCCACTAAGTCCAGGCGCCTGTTAAGTCTACCTGGAATTTTGGGTACACAGCGATTTTTTTGGCTTACCTTGTGTTTTTTGGATCGCTGAATCCAAATCTGAAGTTTCCAACCGCTTATCTGGTGAGCATTTTCCGTCATTTTGAAAATGTGGCCTAAAAGGCCTTTGTTGCGGTTTTTTGTGTATACCGGCTACACCTGCGAAAAAGTTCCGGATTTAATTAATGTTATTTAATAGCTGACATAATTTGGAAGAAAATGGTATATGAATGTACTAGGTTTGCTCAAAAATTGAGGAACCTCGGATCTCGGAACTTTGGAACGCCTTGGAACTTGGCCGACGGCGCGGCGGCGAGCCGCATCGCGCGTTGACGGGTGCGCCGCGAAAAATGGAATGGGCGCGATGTTCACAATGCTGAATCTTCCTCAATTTTTAAGCAAACCTAGCATATGTGCACACCATTTTCTTCCACATTATGTCAGCTATTCAAAACATTAACTAAATCCGGAACTTTTTCTCATGCGTAGCCGCTATATGTAAAAAAACCGCAAAAAAGGGAATTTTAGGCCATTTTTTCAAAATGGCGGAAATTGCTCACCAGATACGCGGTATGAAACTTCAGATTTGGATTCAGCAACCCTAAAAACATACGGGAAGCCAAAAAAATCGATGTGTACCCGAAATTCCAGGTAGCCTCATTTTTAGCTACCAGGCGCCTGGACTATATTGGCGCATTGGCGCGTTTCTGCTGGGTGTTCGCTAGCCGAATTTCGTCGGCGAATGGGATGTAGCACTGCTACGAGAGAGGTGTTGCGTGCCATTCGTATGGGGCGGTCCGCTGGTCGACTTATTCGCGCGCCGAAATTTGCTTACGCACGCCCAGCGGGATCGCGCCAATAGAGTTCACAGAAACGTGATGTAAATGCTCCCGTGCTAAGGAAGAATACGCAGTATGAGCACTCGATAGTTGCCAAATTTCATTTGATAAAATGCTTATTTTGAGGCGAGTTATGAATATATTACATTAAAATTTTTAGGAACTTTAGGTGAAATTGCGGACAAAATTAAATGAAAAATTGGATTCATATATGTTTACCAGGAAATTCTTGTTTTATCAATGGATATTTCGCAACGCTTGAAGGTTCATACGGCGTTTTTCTTTTAGCACGCCAAAATGGGAGAGCTATAGTCTTGTCAGCATTTTCTACGAATTCCGAGACTTCTGTGTCACGCCGGGTCACTTTTTCGACACATAATCGATTGTTTTCGATACACGGAGACCCGGCCATCCGATGTAAACAAAGAGGATATGAATTATCGCGTGTCCCACTCACACCTCCCAGAAAGCACAAGAATATTCCTAGAATATTCTCAGAACATTCCTCGGAAAATCTGGAACATTCACAGAATATTCCTTAAATGTGCCGGGAACGTTCTAGGAACATTCTAGGANCTGGCAGCACGCCGCTCCGCTCTGTTAGGCTTTAATATTTATACTCGCATAGTCAGCGTTTTTTAACTCATGATTTTGAAATGTTTGCACACTCTACATTGATTATTCTCATTTAAATTGATGGGAAAAAATATGTATCAATTTATCAAAGGAGAATAATAATATAATGTGTTGGTGGTTCCGTATCAAATTTAATGATTTCCAAAGCACTTTAATTTTTTCTTTTACATTTTGTGCTTTTATTGTGCTGCAGCGAGGTGTACGCGCAATCAAACGCTCCAAATTTAACGTATTTGACTCTAACAGATCGATGTACAAATGGGTTAAAACCAAAGATTGCGTGCTTCTTGGTTTTTTCCCCTCTTTTATTCATTTTTGCAGTTTCTGTCGGCGCAACTGCGGCTCATCGAGCCTAATGTCGCTTGGAAAAGGTTTTACAAATATTTGTCACGTTTTAAAAATATACATGTTTTCAAAATGAAGTAATAATTTCGTAAAGAAAAACTTAAAAAAATAAAAAAAAGTACCTATACATATATAAGGTATATTGTACATCGA